TAAACTGAGGACCTTGGAAAGGAGATAGCCAGCGGTAGCTGGATGCTGTTATGAGATATCGCCTTATGTGGCAACTACATCCAGCAGGAACTGGCACAGACTGATTTAATACTTAATCTACAACTCAACAAGCATGTATGATGAGGGGTTAAAAAAAGGAGTTCTATTTAGTCCATCACTAAAATTATAGAAAAATATTAGATACTTTTTTTTTGCTTCAATTTAATAAGAAATGACATAGAATATAGGCATGAAAGTTGAAAAGTGGGGGGCTTGCTACGTCACAACTTTGTAGAAAATGTACAAAATTGTGACGTCATGCGACATTTCAACTGAATGTATCGCCGCGAATTATTGATTTCATAAAAAGTATAAAAATATTTGTTTAACATTCTTCATCCATATTATATCACGCACGTTCGACGGTTTTCATTGACTTTTAATTGCAACTTCGTTTTATCTACTATATTAAAGAGTATTTTCCTTTAAAGTACGAAAAAAAGCTGACCAATAAGTTCATTATCAGCATTCGCGGTAAACGAGTGAGGGTACTGCTACCTTAGTTTTTATCTTTGGCTTATATATTAGGAGTTCCCTATCAGCTCTATATATAAGGTGTAATATTATTATATGCCAGGACTTCGTGGGGTGGATAAGATATATGTAATGAAAACTTTTACTATGAGAAAAATACTACAATCGCCAACAGTATAGTATATACATGTAGTAATAGTATATGGAACTCATCCATCCCACGTAGTCCTGGCACATAATATTATTACACCTTATATTGGTATTGGAATTGAAACATTCATATAAATGTCAAAAAAGGTCAAATCCATTATCTTTAACAATGTAATCAGATAGACGCGCTCAGAGCTATTTTTTTTATTTTATTGAAATTCAAAATTTTACATATTTTATTATTGTTTCTATACGTGTAAAGACCACAAACGTGACATTGGCGGAATTGTGTAAATGCAAATAGGCCATGAATTAAAAAAGAAGAAGAAGGTCAAATCCATGAAATGGAGGCGTCATATGTTTATTAGTGATCAATAAAACTTAATAGAAACGCCCACAAGATATATTAAGAACTCGGTAGATGCATAAATTCTTTTTCATATTGTGAAATTTATTATGAATAAAGAAACAAGATTATTATGTTCTAGGAAATATGGCTTCGATTTATTTATAGTTATTCAATTAAATATTATGAATAAATGCTAATGACATCATATGACTAATAATTTAGAATTTGTGAGAGACAATCACGAAACTGCGGCTAAATTGTCTTAATTTTAAAATCTACCACAATCCCTTCTAATTTAATATTGAAAGATTTTCACGAACTTTTCGCTACGACTATTTGAAATGTGATAATGAGACACACTAGAAAAATCTATAACATTTCCTTTTTAAAATCAATTTTTTCGATAATATTCTAGAATGTTGTAGAACATTCTAGGTACTTCTGGTGTAGGGTATATAAAGCCGCGCTCGCGATTTGTTTAGTCAGTTTGAAAAAAAATGGACGAGCGACAAGTTCGAACACTATACTTATACGAGTACTTGTTAGGCCACAGTGCGCGGGCTGCGGCTGACAATATCAACAATGCATTAGGCGCTGGAAGTACAAGCCATGCGACGGTGGCCCGATGGTTTGACCGTTTTAAATCAGGAGACAGGAACCTTGAAAGTCAGCCACGCTCAGGGCGACCACTCGCAGTGAATGATGACGATTTGCGCCGCGAACTGCAGTTGAATCCGGATGCTACCACTCGTGAATTAGCGGAAGCACTTAAATGCAGTCACCACGCCGTGGAACACCATCTGCATGAGCTTGGTTATCGAAAAGTTTTGGCTCGGTGGGTACCGCACATCCTTACAGACGCCAGTCGTGCAGTCCGTGTCGCTATCTGTCAGTCACTTTTGCTACGACCCCGACGTAAAGAGTTTTTGTCAGATCTAGTTACTGGAGATGAATCATGGATTTATTACGAGAACGATACACGTCGTGCTTTTTGACTGCCTCGAGAAGAAACGCCACCAACTCAACCGAAGCCGAGTCAAAAGAACCGCCGAAAAATTCTGTTTTGCTGTTTCTAGGATGCGCAAGGCATACTGTTTTATGAGCTATTACACAATGAAACTATAAACGCTGACAAATATTCAATCCAGCTTACCAAATTATCTGCCGCTATCAAGAAAAAACGACGAAGACGAGTCAATGTAGTTTTACTGCACGATAACGCTCGACCTCACGTCACATCAGTGGTTCGCCGGCAGTTGGAGAACTTGGGCTGGGAGACGATACCCCACCCACCTTATTCCCCAGACCTCGCCCCATCAGACTATCATTTGTTTAGAGCCCTGAAACAGCATTTGCGGGGTAAACAATTTAATGATTTCTCTGACGTAGAGGCGGAGTTGAACAACTTTTTCGAGGCACAGCCATCAGAGTTCTGGGCAAAAGGCATCCAAACTTTGCCGGATCGTTGGCAAGAAGTCTTGGTAATTACATCATTGACTAAACTTTTTTTATTGTAATAATAATAAAAAAGTAAAAACTTAAACCAAGTGTCTCATTACTTTTGTGCCAACCCGAATTATTCGAATCGTTCTTCGTCCCTGTAGCGATTGCGACTTTACACAATACCAAAAATCGTTGTCACAATTTTGAAATTAGGATACTGATAAATAGTATTCAAATGAGTATTTGCGGTTTTTGTTTTTGTCCTGATTTTAAATTAATGAAATTTGTGTGTTAACAGTAAAAAAACAAGGTTCAAAATGTGAATATCAAATAGTATACCGAGTAAAGAATGTTGAAAATGATGCCAAAATATATATATTATAGGAAACCTTTGAGTTTTGAAAAGCAAGATCGTGCGCTTTTAAATTCTGTTGTTTAAACTTCTAGTGCCTTGTGAATACATTGAATTATATTCACAAAACTATTTATCTTCTGAAATAAAATGCATTTCTTCTACTGTTTTAGTAATTTCTTCTATTAATGCATTTAAACTGAAATCATACGATACGTACTTATTTAACCTACTTCCAAATCAAATAAACTATGTTCTACGGGTGTGCAATTTTTCTCCGCTAATGGTAGATCAATTTTCAAACTTATTTTTTTATTCGATAGCTTATAACAAAATAAATAAATCCATTCTGTAAAAAATAACTAAAATACTTCATCATGTCTTCGCATAAACACAAAAATACGCGTAATTTGTTTCCCTTCTATTTACATTAAATTTACATCTTACTAAAAATAATATCGGAAACTATAAATACAAATAAAAAATACACTAAATAAAGAAAATTAATAACTATATTTTTTAAAGTTTTTGTATGCATTTATGTTTTCTAATTGATTTACCGTTCTCATTATATGTAACTACTTTTGTGAGCTACTTAAATAAATAAATTACTTATGCGTTTTTTCTCGATATATAAGAAGTGGCACGCCTCGAGTTAGCTAACCGTTTGGGAGCTGAACGTTCACTCTTTAGTTTATCACGCGAACTTTTTTCACGCAACTCCTTGTCTATGAAGAAAAATAAAAAAAAACAATGTCGGTTTCCCGATGCCAATGACCCCACACTTGGAAAGTGACGTGTCAAGAACATCAGCTGTTTTCATTTGTTATAATATAATGTATGATTCCGTGCACATCTATTCTTGGCCGTGACGATTTGTGTGGTTTCGAAGAAGTACTTATCGTCCAACGTAAACATGTACTCACGATCGATTTAACGAATAATTGAATCACACCTATTTTTAATTAATTCAGGAAAATCATTTTTGTATTTTCCTCGAACGTTGCGTCTTTACGTCTGGTTCTTTCATCTTCCTTTAATAATCGACTTCAAAAAAAAGGAGGAAGTTCTCAATTCAACTGTAATTTTTTTTCTGTTTGTCACCTCATAACTTTTTGTGGGTGGACCGATTTTGATGATGCTTGCATTGCGTAGAAAAATGTAGAATATAAGTCTTAAATTTGCAGTAACTATGCCGTTACCCCAAAACTTAAAATATTACTTGAATGCACGAATAATACTTTAAAATAATACTTATCTCAAAAGCGGTAATTTTTTAAAGAAACATTGAAATCGCGCGTTTAATATTTAATTAACTAAAGAAAACCTAAACCCGACTTTAATGTTGCTTAAAAAATAACCGATTTTAAGATAAGTATTATTTTTCACATTTTTTAAATTTGAAGTCGGATCCATTTTTTAAAGTTTTCCTTTGATATTATTTACACGAAATATATCGCAATCTTATTAGTAAAAAAAAACACATTCATCATCATCAGCTTATCAATTACTCCGCAATAAGGATGGGAATATTGTAACATAATTGATAAAACAGTTAATCTACCATGAAAGTTAAAATCACAGAGTGACTGTATGAAACATAACCCATCACGCTGTCCCAATGCGGATTATGCAGTGTTAGCGACTGTAGGTGAACGTGGACCAGGACTCGACTTGACCTTTCAAAGCACGAAAGAGCTTGGAATGAAAAAAATTTTTTTTTCCACCCATCCTATGATCGGAGACCACAGAATATATTCTGTGATTGAAATGCACTAACGATTAACCATATCCAAACTGTTAAATATATTAAATAATAGATTTAATAAATATAGTTTAAGTAGGTCCCCTAGGCACCCTGGGTCCCCAGGCAACCGTTTAGTGGAATAAAACAGCTTATAATCCTACATGTTAATTTATTAATTTAGCGTTACTCGTGTACAAAATCCCTTTATTAGTTTTTTGGGTGAAAGAGTTATAAACATAATGTCGGTAGGTACATGCTCATAAAATTTCGCTCTAACTTTTATAACATTAGTATATTTCGTGTTTATGGTTTCACAACACAAACAAACTGTTATTTTATTTTTTTACATTGTTTTACATTAGACAACGTACTTCTATACTACGAAATATGAGAGACTAATCAATTATTCGTATCCTTCTTTTCAGATTTCTTTCAAAAGTTACTGCAGATGTCTAAGGCAGAGTTCCACGCGATGTTCAAAAGAACATACGGCATGATCTACGAACAACACTCCTATGTATTCGCAAAACTCTTCGAGGAACTAGAGAGGTAATTAAATATAATATGAAATAGGAGTTGAGAATTATGTTAAAAAGATTAACAGCCAGTTGCACAATCGTCAATTAATTTTTTCATTAGTCTATAGCGACATTACCCAAACAAATATAACGCTCAAATGCGTCATTAAACCTTAACGGACATTTGTGCAACTGACCGTAAGTCGTTAAGATTCCTATTACAGTGTAGATTATTATAAAACCACGATCCAATCGAGTCTGTATTCATATACGAATCTACTGCTCGCAATTCGGTCTATCTCGATTTCGAAACAACCTTACTAATGTTAGCCTAAATATGGCAAGTCAATAGCGCAACTTTATCAGATGTTTTTGATACAAATTTTGCTATTTAATCACAAAGTAACAATGTTACCGTTGATATGTAAAGAAGAATATGTGACTTGTAAAGAAACAGAGTATTATTATGGTGCAATGTAGCACATAATTGATACGCCATTGAGATGATTGTCACGTTAATATTACTACCAGAAATGCCGTGTCGGTGTACCGGTTCATCGCATGAATAGGTAGGATTTGATTAAGGTTGTACCTAGAAATAACGTCCAAAAAGCTGCAACTGAAAATATTAAAAAAAATACCCAGTGGAACATTTCCTCTATATGAAAAAATCATAAAATTACCCCCATCTCTTGTAGTAATTTTACTCCCTTTTATGGGGAATATTGATAAATATCTGAGTCACTTTGTAGTCGACGATTTAGCGGAGAGCTTTTATGGGTTTATTTATATCAGTAACTAAAAATATTTTTTTGACGTGCAATTATCTATCTTCTGGCCCTTGTTTTCTTACGCCCAGCCTGATCGATGGGTATGGGGGCGTCCATAAATTACGTGAGGTGTTTTTTTAAATTTTCTGTCCCTCCCTCCCCCTCTGGTGAGATATCGTGAGATTTTATTCAACCCCCTCCCCCATCCCCCAATCTCACGTGAGATTTTTCAAAATGCAATTTGATGAGTACTTGCGAGTATTTGCCTTGTTGTAGTATCGAGTACTCAGTATCGAGTATCGCTTTTGAAAGTATCGATACCTACTCGGTATCGAAAGTATCGTTCGAGCCCTACAAATATGATGGTTTGACATTCAGTCGATGTATAGCGTCGAAATATGAATGAAATTATTTTCTTTCGAACGAATTAGTGAATGATCTTAATCGTATACGATTACGCTTAAGATTAAATCTTAAGCATGTACAATCTAGATTAAATGGACCAAAATAGTATTTTTTTTTTGTTTCAATCAGAAAAAAAATTGCGTGATATTTGCCGAGACCCCCCCTCTCTCCAACGTAAGATTAGATGAGATTTGCCTCGACCCCCTCCCCCCCTTAAACATCTCACGTAATTTATGGACGCCCCCTATTTTACCTGTTTTGTTTATCCTTTCTTATAAAGTTCGGAGGAGTCAAAATAGTTCGCAAGTACACTTTTTAAACCATTTTTGAGCGGGTTTGAGTGCCTCTAATTTTATTGCATTCGGATCTTTTGCACGCTCCAAAACCAAACTGTGCAGTGTGTATATTGAAATATAAGAAATAATTAATAATTTGATGTAGGTAATTAGAATGGCAGAACGGAACGATCATGTCAGAGAAATTCCCTAACACTCAAATCCGTTAATTATATAGTTAACAGAACCTTAATAAGTACTTTCAGATCAGCCAGACAACAATTTATGTTACGAACAGGTTTTTCGCGGTTGTTACTTTATAGTAAATTTCGCAGGATTAAATCTGGCTGGCCACATTCCGTTCTTGAACGTAGACTTCATTTTGAAATATTTTCCAAGGACTTTTAGTTTGTCGGCGAATCCTTGACTATGCATGCGGATAAAATGGAGCGAATTTTTGCTGCTAGGTGCTCATATTGTGAGAAATTCCGACTGTGATATGTTTGAAATGAATGTTTTATACACAGTAAACTATAAAAAAAATATGTTAAAGAAGAATGCTTCATCACCATCACCACCAGTCCTTTTACGTCCCCACTGCAGGGGCTCAGGCCTTCCTTATGGATGATTAAGGAGGATGGGCCATGACCCTCCACGCTGGCCCAATGCGGATTGGAGGGCATTAACGACTGCAAATGCAGCCGGGACCAACGGCTTAACGTGCCTTCCGACGCACGGAGTTGCTCGAGATAATAATTTTTTGGTCACCCATCCCGTGACCGACCCTTGCGAAAGTTGCTTAACGACTACGATCGCGGGCCACGGCGCTTATCCACTACGCTACCGAGCTAAGAATGCTTAAAGAAGACAAAAACTGGTGAAGTTTTTGAGCATATTTCTTTAAGATATAAAGCATTGTGAATGCAACATTTATCAAATATAATAATATCTCTAATAAATAAATATTAAACAACATCACATACATTGCTCAGATTCCAAGATGAGTTGCTAAAGCCCCCGTATTATTGAGTATCTGAGACAACGAAGGTACCACAACACCCAGACCCGAGTCAATATAGAAAAGTTCATTTTCTACATTGACCCGACCGGGAATCGAAGCCGGGACCTCAGAGATGGCGATACCTTGAAAAAGGCGTGCGAACCACTTGGCTAAGACTCGATTATCTCTAATGTTAAGTAATGAGACGTCTTATAAATGTATAGATTAAATACTCATTGAATGAATTAAATACGATAAAATGTTCTTGATCGTTTGACCAATAGTATCTTTCTACAATAACGTTAATTTTGAATTATATTTTGTCGGCAGGTATTACACGGAAGGCGACGTAGAGTTCGACGCTATGATGGACAAATTCTTCGGTATCCTGTACCAGAAGATGTTCACGGTACTCAATTCTCAGTACAGTTTCGATGAAAAGTAAGTGCAGTAAAAGTTGTACTCAAATATTATATTAAAGCAAGCATCTATGTACATATATAAATCAATTTCTGACCTCGACGTCGAACACAGCTGGCACAGTATACCGGCCCGTTCATATAGGCAAACTAGACAACTGTCTAGATTATGTTTGGTTACCTTAAAAAATACTTTTGTTCTTTGCACATGTCCGCGGTATTCAAATGTACAAAATTTTCAGACCAGACTAAGGAATTACTTTTCTCATTATTAAATCGGTGTGCCTGCATAAGGTTTTTAGTTTGTTGTAATTTCTTATTGGCATCATACTAGTGCTTCGCCTTGAGCGCTAAGTTCTATTATTTTGTCTAGGGCGCCAAGTTTGATTGAGCCGGCGCTGGGTTTAAGGAAATAAAATCTTGATTCTAGAACAGATTTTATTACCGAATAACAATCCGGATAGCGTAATACTGTATATTGTCACATAGGAATTTGTTTTTTTTAGTGTATGTAGGTATATCCTATGATAATAACATACTATTAATATTCAATGGTTGTATATTAATATTACTCAAGCTACGTTATAATGGCCGCGCATGACATCTACATAATGATGAGATCATTTTGTGGTCGTCTCAGTAATCAATGGTTCAATAGACATCACTTTAGAGGTTCAACTCGAAACATGGTCAATCGAATAGCATTTACTTTAACCAACTTTTTTATTTTTAGGTACTAGCTTTCCGAAAATTTAATTGTATAATTTTCATGCATACAGACTTACATAATCTCTATTTCAACTAGTAGTTTCCAAATTGTTGAAACATACATATATTCAGTAATTTAATCAGTAGCTCAATATTGAAGTTTTATATTTCGAGCTTAAAAATGACGGACTTCCATAGAAACTTCCTACCGTTATTTTATCCAATTGAAGGTCGAATTTCCACATTTGCTGAAATTGGTTTATAATTATTTTTTATGAGTAGCTCACAAAAATTAAGTTTCTTGTTTATTTCACCCTTTTAGGGGTAAAATTTCCTCAAACGCTGATACAGGCATTAGCTAATAATATTATTTATAAGTAGTCTGTTCCTAATTTTATATCAAATATCGGTCGGTCATAATATTATTTACTACTAATGAGCTGACCCCGTTGACCAGTATATTTGAACTATGGCAAGTAATTAATATCAGTCGAGTATATTTTATAAACATTTTAAAAATACATTGTTTAAAAAAATATTGTCATTGTTAGTAAAAAAAAAAGATTAAAGTACCTATAATAAGTTTTAACAAAAAGATTTTCGTACGCGGTGTGAATCTCAAATTTTAAGAAACTTATTCTTGTCCGCGGTAGACTTATAAAACATTTAAACGGACAGTTTTATTGTTATGGACACGTAAACAAACTATTAAAACGATAGCGCGCTATAAAAGCCACTGGAAAATGCGTTATGGATAAGTATACAATGCGAGTAATCTGACTCTGTTTACAATTTAAAGCTATTCTTTACTTTGTAATTGAGTCATTTAAATTGTGTCGTTTAGAATTTAATTGTAGCTCGATTACAATGTCCCATATCTAGAATACATGGCACGCAACATTGCCCGATACTAATCACAGGAGTTAATATTTTTATCGCGCTAATAAATGCTTTCAAGTTCAAATATACGCAATGTAATGTTTGTAAACAAAAAAACTTGCAATTATAAATATTTTTTAATTTAATTAGGTATAAACGTATACTAGGCCCATCTAGACTTGAGTTTCTCAAAGTGAGCTTCGCGAAGGCACAGCAATTTTGGGAGTCTAGATAAATATTGGTTTCGTTTTATTTTAGGATCCGTGTTTTCCAAAAGAGTTATATTACCAAAAAGTTTGAGAACCGCTGCATTTTATTAACGTAAAAGTAGGCTGGAATGAAAAGGATAGTAAGCGTCCCTTTTCCATATCCACTTATTTATTTCATTATTTCTTTATTATTTAAAAAATCTTTTGTTTCTATTATAATTTTCTAATTTATACCTATTAAAAATACTACAAATTATGTCTGAATGCTTAATCTCATTTAATGGAATTATAATCTAATGAATAAATTAATTGTCACAGGTATTTGTCATGTGTGAACGAGCACATGCGTGAAATAAAGCCGTTCGAGGACGTCCCGCAAAAGTTGTCTGTGCAGTTGCGGCGCGCGTTCGTCGCCACCCGCACCTTCCACAAGGCGCTGCAAGCCGGCGCCGACGTCGTACGAAACATGATGCAGGTAACTGATAGGCCGCTTTGCTTCTTAGTTATAGCCATTAGCCTTTCATCATCAAACTACCTTTACGTTATTTTATGACTTTACTACTTGGTTCAAACAAATGGCCGCCTATAGCAAATGAATGACAGGCGAGAAAACATCAAGACGAGACGTATTATTATTTAGTCGGATGCTAGTTGAAACCCCGTCTAGCAGATTCGCCGTGCGGTAGGTATATAAATGATATTCTCCTATACTATTTACCATCTTCAAAATCACGAAATATCACAAGGAGGGGGGGGGGGTCGTATTTTTCCTCAAACGCGCGATTATTAAACCGAAAAGCGGCGTCAAAAAATACACATGATTTTTAGTCTTGAATATCACCATGTATCTATCACCAAGGGGGTTAAAAAATCCTGAAAAAGCATCACGTGATTAAAGGACGGCCCCTTGGGGGCAGAATTTGTAGAAATCTTGTAATACGTCATACTTAATTCCTAACCAAGTTTTAAAAATACAATTTTATCGATTTTAAGTTCAAAACTTAACCCTCCGAATTTCATACAAACTTTCCACTCCCTTCAATATCCCTTTAGGGGTTGGGGTTTCCAAAATTATCTATTAGTGTTCGCCTACATTCCTCAAGGAACAGATTTGCCTGAAGGTTGTCTGTCAGTCAATCAGTAAAGGAAAAGTTAAATCTATATTATACATACTAGCGCTGTTTTCTTAGTCCGTATAAATTATAGTCTATGCCACCCGCGTATGTTGTAGGTGAAAGAATTTGGAGTCTGTTCCAATGCAAGCAAACAATTAAATCTTCCGTCTTCAGAGTATAGATTATAAAAAATTTCATAGCCATAGCATGCGACCAAACTTTAGAACTTTTTAACAATAATATCGTCAGGTGAGTGTCATTAATGTGGCTTGTTACTGATATGAGAGACTTAATGTAGCTTGATTGCTTAATTTACATACGTTTAACGGCGTAATTGGATAATAAACATTCATTTTCACCGTAAAATTGTCCATTAAATGTCTACCAGTAGTTAGAGAAAATTTTCTTGCACGTAATTAGTAGTGAATGGTTGCAAGTCTGTTGCGCAGACTAGACTAAATTTAGGTTTGGTCCTGTCAAGCGTTTTTAATTGTGAAAAAAATTAATCGAAGTAAACTTATTATATTTTATGTTCCCTTGATTTGTATATGTGAGTGTGGAAAATAGTCAAAACAAATAGAAATTAAATCGTGGTACAACAGAATTGGCGCCATTGTGTCTCTATTTTTCTGTTTTCTAAAGCCGGCGTTAAGTGTTTTTAATTACGGCAATGAAAATACGGTACGGCATAATAAATTAAATAAATATGATAAATTTTACATATATAATTTAAATTTTGTGTTACGTAAAATCCGTATCCGTAAAATAATTTATTACAAAATTTTTGAGCACCTTTCCGATGCTGGACCTTTGAAAAATTGCTTCGCTTATAGCCTAATAATTATAAAGGTTCATACTGTTGTTTTATCCTCGATGACACATGTGGGCTCGACGATGAGAGATGCGAGGCATCATAATGGCAACATTATTCAAATAGAGCACCCGTTACGCATTACATTTCAACACCCGAATAAAATAATATGCGACGAGCTGTATATCACTCCTAAAGCTGGGAATTCATACGTGTCGCAAATGAATTGAACGGATCAGTTATAGATTAATTACCTACTTTTAGTTCTCCAGGCTAATATATAATTTGACCTTTGGTTATGTTTATATAACTACACTTATACCCACTGACTTTTAATTTTGCCTTAAGGCAAACTGAAAAAGCACGCCCACGACATTAACTTCGTCTTTGTACTAAAGCGGGATAATGAGTAATTGAAGTAAACCTGTAATAGCGCCGTCATTAAACCGTCTGAGATTAATAACTAATAATTGTTCAGTTGTATGCGTTTGGGAGAAATCCCTATTTGAGTGCGTTACAAAATCAACCAATCCTCGCACGCGGGCTAGCGGTCAATGAAAATGACTCCCCGAATGAGCGGCCTCCGCCAGGGGTGGTCAATCATTTGAAACAGTGCAAAAAGTTATAATTTATTAAATTAATAAATTATTTTTAGAGTTACTGAAAGATTTCGGTTGAAAAATGGAATTATCCATATAATAGTTGAGATTTTATTTAAAGTAAATGACATCACAATCATAACATGACTAAAAGATTCAAAGTCCATTCGTATTATAATATTCAACTATGTATCGATTACAAACTAATCTTTCGCACACCACATGCGGGCTCTATGCACCAATGAATATGCGTCTTTCGTCGTGTGCAACTCTATAAAACGTATTAGTTTATTTATTACAGCATGTATATTGATATCCATGTTTATTCAATCAATTTCATATTATAATCGTTGTCGACGTTCGCCTGTTAAATATTCCGGCCGACCTTGCCTATGAATCATAGAGGCGAATGTCTGGACGCAAAATTTGTCGTTCGTTGATCCCCATTAGGCGCCTGCGCCGGCCGCTAATGCGACATGTGGTGGTTTGCTAATGATTAAAATTTAGTTTGGTATCGTTTCTATTTGCTATGAGTCGTATTAAATATAGTCTATTTGCTATGATTTTAGCAACTACAAATGCTATATATTTAGATTGATTAGGTAATATTAACTGTCGAATAATAAATATTGTTTCGAGTCGGGTCTAAATAGTTTTATCGTTACTCATCTTCATAAGTGCTAATGCCAGCAATATTAAATAGCATGTTCAATAAACATGAACAATATTATACATTGTATGCTTAAACATTAGATGGAAACGCATTTGTTACATACAACACAACCGTTGTATTTGCTGTCGCGTCTTCTTTCACATATGAGTATCAAACGGATATTTTTCTGTCGCGACACAACGCAACATGCAAATGTGTATCTCTAACTCAAGGCTGCTCAACACGAGGCCAGAAAAATTTTAAAAGTACCTTTCCAAGTAAATTCTAAAATTCCCACCAAATTGAATCCAATGAATTGCCTGCCGCAGAAGGAAGGAAGTTCCAGACTAGTAGTAAACAGAGTAACTAAATAGCACTGTTCAGTTGCCCTTCGTAATTATATGAATCTTCCGTTAAGCCCGAATGTAATAAAGAATGAACAACTCTGCTCTAACCATTCTAAATGCATTAACCCGATCCGCCTTACTATAAAACGAGAACTAAAGTCAGTTAAACCAATGCCCGCCGAAAGATATTTGACAACTACAGAAGAGAAAATGTCGAATTGAGACGTGTTAGTTCATTTGATCGGATAATTAAACCTTTATGCGTCCAAAATAATTTTAAACTAAAGCTGGAAAAAATTGCTAATTAAGTATGTTATAAATTAACACGTCCCGTTATTGTTTCAGGTGAAACTAACGTCGGAATGTGTGACCGCGTGGGCCCGCCTAAGGTTCTGCGGCAGTTGTATGGGCGACGACACGCCGGCGTGCAGCCGCTACTGCCACAACGTGCTGCGGGGGTGTCTGCCCGCGCACGCCGATCTCGGAGACAACTGGGACGCTTACATCGGTCTGTGGTCACACTCATTACTTTTTTTTTATTGTAGGGCAAATGAACGATAATTATGGGTCAGTTCTGGAGTAATGCGTCATGTCCAAATAGAAAACATTGTCAGGTACTTAAAGTATCCGAGAATGTGTCGTAACTAAACTGATACTATTGCTTGATAATTCAAATCAATTCAACTTTCTTTAAAATTTTATTAGCAAAACATGTGACTGACACTATAAATGAAATGCTTCGAACTTACTTTGTAGCTTTATGCACATCCTTTGACGGCCCATGCCTTATGGTTAGAGGACATCGCCAAAATAGAAAAAAATTACACAATTTTAAATAGAACAAGATCTGTCCTGTTCTAACCTTGATAAATCCGCAGAAAAAAAAAATACATTCGTCTTAACAAGAAGTTTTTATATCTAAAGAAAGTGTTGTCTTTTAAATCCGCAGAAAAAAAAATACATTCGTCTTAACAAGAAGTTTTTATATCTAAAGAAAGTGTTGTCTTTTTATTTACAGAGGCTATCGATAAAGTAGCCGATAGATTGCTCGGACCTTTCAACATAGCGATGGTGGTTGAACCGATCGACATAAAGATATCCGAGGCGATCATGAGTTTCCAGGAGCACAACCAGGAGATATCGCAAAAGATATTCGCCGGTTGCGGGAAACCAGTCCTAGGCGGGGGAGGAGGTGGCGCCGGACCGTTCTTCGCACCGGACCGGAACAAACGGTCTATTCGTTCAGATTCTTGGGACAGAGACAACGACGTGGACGATTTCGAGATCGAGACTTCATTCGAGAGCGTTAGAGACGACCCGATGTTCGGATTTAGAGTGCCGGAGATCAGGAGAGCGACTCAAGAGTTGGCCGAACAGGCTAAGCTCAGAGAGAGATTCTTACAGTACATGAGAGGGAATATGGAGCTGAAGGAGTACGAACGATACGAACACGACAGACGGCGGAGGGACGCGGCCCCGGAGCCGGCGGCCGCTAGCTCCGAGATAGACTACAGAGCGTTCGATTTCGAAGGGAAGAGGGGTTCGAAGAAGAAGAAGCCTTCGGCGAAAACCGACGACGTGCACGGTGGGTGATCGTGAAATTTTCTGTGATTCGTTCGTTTCGTTTATTTGATTACTATTTTGGTTTTAATTTTTTAAAGCTTCTGAAACAACTACAGTCGGAGTTGGAAGGTTTTTCTCAGGGAGGTAGTGAGTTAGCTGAACTTATGTACAAAGTCCAACACTTCAGTCACTGTAATTAATTTAAGTGAGTCTTTCTCTCGTTCTATATGAATAGAAGTTCATCATACTCGGCCGCTCCGGTGTCATTCTATTTGGGTTGAAGTGGAACGTCAAATGTGGAACATCTCCATCGGGATTCACCATCGATGTTGTCTTTGCTTCGCGATATCGCCGTTAGCGTCGATAAAAACGTTCATCTCTATTTTTGGGTAGACGAATGAATGATAACTTTGTATACGTGTGGTGCGGCGTAGGCGGCGTAGGCGGCGCGGCGGGCGGCGGCAGCGCGGAGTGGGGCGGCGCGGCGCTGGAGCGGCTGGTGCGCGAGTGCCGCGCGCGGCTGCACGCGTGGCGCCGCTACTGGGCGCAGCTGCCCGCGCTGCTGTGCGCGCCCGCCAGCGTCACCAGCGCGCCCTGCTTCAACGGCACCGCCCTCGCCAGGTACTCATCCAATGTTTATCGGTGTGTGAAACATTATAAGCTTTTTTACTGTGATATTAATAAAATACATTATATTGCTCTTAATGAGAAATGCTTAAAAAATCGACTTTATCCCTTGAACTCTGAGATGGGAATAACCCACGACCCTTCGCAATCCGTTCAAATTTAAAAAAAATTGATGAAAATATGTCAAACTTTCGAGGCAAAAGTATTTCAAGGAGCCTAGAACGAATATTTTCAAATAAAAATGTATGACACGAAAACATGTTCAAATATCACATTTAATTTTTACCTTTAATACATACTTAGTTTAATTAACCTATATATTTGTTTTATTTCCTCGCAAAAAGCATTGAAAAATATTGTAAGGAACTTAAGCGTAAAAGGTTTTTCGAATTCGTGCTAATGAAAACCCTCGCTAAGCTCGTGTTTTCAATTTGGCCCATATTCGTAATCGTTCATAGCGATTAGTTATTTCAAAAGTGACACATGCGTTCGTTCCGGCTACAGTTACACGGTCCCGCCGGCGGGCGAGGGGGGCGCGGCGCTGGCGTCCAACCCGGAGGTGCGCGGGGGCGCGGTGCCGGGGGGCGTGCAGGCCGCGCGCACTATGCAGGAGCGGCTGCGGGCCCTCACCGCCAGGCTGCGGGACGCATACAACGGGCTCGAGGTGCAGTGGCGGGACACAGGTCAGTATTGCCCCTCACCGCCAGGCACAGGGACGCCTACAACGGGGACGATCCTGGACATACTGCACTCTCTAACCACTCAAAACAACATACAAATTTTCTTCTTTATATACTCGTAATATTAATTAATTTCGATATTGGTGTAAATATACATCGTACACCTGAGAACACGACATTGTCCTGGACGCTTTCAAACTGACTTCTTAAAAAGAAGTTTTTCAATTTGACCCGAAGCTGAAATATCGAGACATCGATAAATATAAGTCAACATCACGTCAAGCGATACAGAAACGTAAAATTTCTCCACTTGATTTAAACCTTAACATTGCGGGTGAAGTTTAAAATCAATTGTAGGAAATTGACATATTGTGGCAGCCTGCAGTAACAATGTCTTCTTCTTCTTTTTTTTTCTTAATGGCTTATCTGCGCATTTCGCACAATTCTGCCAATGTCAAGTAAATTAATTCATTTTTACATGTAAAATGAAAATGAATTGAATGAAAGATGGCGATGATCTAGTAACAATGCCGTAATTGTCGATTACTCTAATTCAGAAGTTCCCAAACAATTTTTTCTCGTACCCCATTTAAAAAAAAATACTTGCTTCGGTGGACCCCCCCTGCTGCTACATATTTGCCATATTCCCAAAACCTCAAATTACAACTTGTGAACCCCTATTTTTATTTCACGCCAACGTAGACCCCATTCCTCGTGGACCCCTGGGGGTCCACCTAAATCAATCGGGGAATCACTGCTCTAATTGGTATAGACTTGTTTTATGCGTTTTTACTTTACAAATAAGGAGATTGCTTAAAACATCGAGTATTCTTAATCCGATAATAAGCATACTTGCATTCTCACTTCTTACTTTTAGTGCTCCTTTGAGCTGGAAAGAAAACAATATATATTCTATAGTAAAATATTAACGTATAGTTTTTATTGCAGACACCAGCCCGCAGATGTCACAGTCGCGACAGGACCTGGTGGATGCCGGCTCCGGATCAGGGTCCGGAGATCACGGAGATGACGATGACACGGAAGATGACGACGACTATGGTGAAATAGGTAATATACTTGTTAATCCGAATTTACAATACGAAAGTGATTTCGGCATATGTGAAAGTGCTTTCGAATGGCGTGTAACAAACCAGTATCTTTAAGACAATGGCCGTGTTAACGTCATCATTATTAGCCTTCTTACGTCCCCCCTGCAGGGGCTCAGGCCTTCTTTATGGATATGGCCTCCGCGCGAACCCAATGCGGATTGGAGGGTATTAACGACTGCAAATGTAGCCAAAACCGATGGTTTAACGTGTCTTCCGAAGTACGGAGTAGCTCAAGATAATTATTTTTTGGTCACCCATCCCGTGACCTACCTTACTTAACAACAATGCTAACGTTTATTCACTATACCACCGAGCTACTCAAACATCAAAGCTTTACTATTCGAGAATGGTGTCATGGAATTAGTTTCACCATGTAAATCGAAAATAAATTAGTTTCGTGAAACTACTTTCATCAAAAAAATGCGCATCGCACGAAATTAGTGTCCTGAAACTAATGCGAAAATACAATTGTAGCACCGAGTAACCCAAAACGAATTCATGTCCTACCAATGTAATGAACAATTCATCTGTCAACAGGTTCAGGTCACATACCGGAATTCGAGGAGTCACCAGAAACGGACGGCGAACCGGACGCGGCGCCGCAACCGGAAACACCGTTCGTGCCCAACATCATAGACACGCCCGGCACCAACAACGTGAACGTGCGCGGTCGCGTCGCCGACGTCCCACCGGACACGGACACGGACACGGCCGGCGGGAACACGGACACCGCGTCCGTGGAACAACCGGCGGACACCCGGCCCGAGTCCGGACCCGAGGACCGAACATTGACGGCCGCCGCGGACAGACCGTCTTTACAGAAGGCACTGTTCACATACGCGTTGCCTGTCGTCTGCGCGTGGTTCGGAACTATAGTCACGGATCTGTTTTAAACCTTAAAATATCCCGTGGACTTCAGTCAGACCTCCCTGTGTTAAAAGTGTATAAAATATTCCTTCTGCACGGAATGTGAGTTAACTTGAGACTTCAAAGTGTGCTCCCAGTGTTTAATTTAAGTTAATGTGGAAGACGCTTCACTGGGTAACATAGTGTAATCTTGATGAACGTCTGATTTGAACTTCTGCACAGTGAAATAATGAACTGGTACGTAGTTAGCCTAGTCAGTGTGAGCTCCTGTGATATATATCGACTGGACCGATGTCAGCGTACGGAAATAAATTATTTTATCCCGAATCTTCTCGATAGATGACAATAAAAAATAATAATGGTTATTATTTTCTATCACCTTATACTTAAATAATGGAATTCACATATGAGGAAATTTCTCATATTTCTTATATGACGGATTGTTTTTTTTCGTTTGTAAATATCGTATGTACATTATAATTAGATAGTAAATATTATCATGATAAACTTTCATGAGTATGTATGGAGTGTGAATGATCTTGTACGATTATTTTGTGTGGATTTCACAGTACTTTTTTATATGTATCATAGTACATAACAAAAAAATATAATAATACAACTCCTTACTAATGAACTAAATATAGATTTTACCTTTGAAATCAAAGTACATGCGTGAAATCACATCAGATATAGTATCATTAAATAAAATGTGTATAAAACTTAGTCATAACATTATAACGTAAGAGACTGATTTGCTTTCGATTAATTTGTTATAAAAAGATTACTCGCGATTCATTTATCGTAAGCTTTATATTATACGTTTAATCGACTGATGTAATGATAATTGCATTTTTTATAGGGCGGTTGTTGTATAGTAAATTATTTAATTATTTATGCTATTTTTACACCAAAAATTCTTTTAGACGTTTAAATTAACTACTTAATATTATATCTTTTTAAATAAAAAAAAAATGTATTAACAAAGATACAATCGCCCATCACTAGCACTTATTTATTCGGCAATTATTTTGGCTTCAGCTTTACTTCACTAGTTAACTACTCCATAAGTAATTTAAGCATAATGAATTTGTAGTGATAAGATTATATAAATGTGAATAATTCGTTGTAAAGTTGAATGTTGCAGCTAGTTGCTGATGCATACAGAACATTCATTCTGGATGTTTCCTAATAAATGTGTCCTTAGAGTCAGATCCATGGCTTTTTTCTCACTACAATCTGAAGTACATTATGAATGAGGAAAACGTTATTTGCGTGCATTTTACAAATAGAATTCTAGTATTTATCTGTTGTGAAAAAAAGCACCACGGATTTGACGCCTAGAACACAATGTTTAAAGTACAGGCACAGGCATTACAGGGAGGTGACAATTGGATATTCCTGATCCAATTTTTTATTTGACATTTTATATACTATTTATGCCACAGTATTGGGATTGTTTAATGCAAAATAAGTAGTTAAAGAAATTTAAGTGAAAGTACCACATAGGCTGTATGACACGGCAGATTTCTTTGCGTAGGTGCTCTTGAGTATTATGTTCAAAAACAACACTTATTTAAAAATATAGTACAGAGCTCTGAAGTTTGGAAAGACGAGGTAAGGCAGTCGGTGTGGAATACTTAATTAAAATTTTATTACATTAACAAGTCGCATTTCTATTCATTACGTGATGATTCCCTTGCTGGGATCCGCCGATATTAAGTTCAGTGCTTAAAAAAATCAATAATTGTTTTATAACTTAGATATCTCTGATCATCTCATATGTAAATCCTCTTATATAGTTTATGTAATGTTGAAAACTCCCGTAGTCATGCACTATATACCTAAGCGTATCTTCTTAAGGACATACTTGATAGCAATACATATGTTCACTGTATCATGGCATTTTTACTGATATTCACGTAAAAAAATGCTTGCAGATAATATGTGCAAGTCACGGGGACCAATCATATCAGTGTGATGTGCCATCTACTTAAGAGTAATTTATATATACCTATGTATTATATGTATACTTTTTGCATAACTACTCGGCTTCATATTGCACATGGTTGATATACAACACAACATATTTTAAACTGTATGTTATTGAAGATATCTTCGTAAACAAGTTTCAATATTTTTTTGGAACCTTTGTTGTTTTCGTCATATAAATAGTGCATATGTTTTCTTAAGCAATTTTCTTATTTCATAGTTATTTGAATTCTAGGGGATCTTATAAGTAATCGAAAATCATTGTTATGAAATATTTCATTGTATTGTAAATATTATTAGCTTATTTAACATTTTATATAAACACAAAAAGATCTAGATTTGTAATCAAATAATTGTATATTTGATGTTTGGGCTACATACACATTTATAATGCAACAACTTTATTGTAAAGACCTTACATTTTGCGAAAGCATCAAACGTCAAATAACAATGCATTTGGTGTGATGTTGTTAGTGGAGAATTATGTAAGTTATATTACGTCGTATAACAGGGTAAAGTGTTGGTTCACTGCCAGTATGCATCTGTTAGTAGAGAACGGAGGTAATGGGCATATAGTTTGATAACACAGCATCTCTTATAACTGTTTGCATAGTTTCATTTACCTATCTCATTGAAGACTGCCTAGCGAGACAGAACAGAAACCCATTCGAGAACATCAACGAATAGTTTAAAAAGAAAAATTTTCTGTAAAATTGCGTCACATGTGATTTGAGAAAAAATCTAGTCAGTTTATTTTCGTTTGAAGCTGTGTTTTGAGATGTTTTTGGCAGCGGTATTTTTTTCTCAAAATTAGTGTGATAGCAGCGTTCGTGGAAACGTGAAATACGTAATTAGTTGCATCTGTTAGATAGAAAAATATCTCAAAAATAGTAGAAATTTCAAGTACAACTAAATTCGTTATCGCGTGCACTTGAGTTTTTATTATTATATAATATCTTTTGATATGATTCTAAAGTGTATACGTAACAATGGTTCTAAACAATCGGCATCTAATGTAAATAACAAGTTTCAAGGTTGCTTCGAGATCGTAACCTAATTGTATAAGTTAAAATCTGTGTTTACTTTCGACGCTGTATTATTATTGGCAGCTCGGCATACAGGCAAGGGTGAAACCCTTAGTCATTATTAACTATTTGAATACCTAATTGTTTATTGCTTACACTGCAACTTGTTAACAAAACCTTGCTCGATAAATAAATATAATGATTAATGGGTTATCTACTTAAGAATAATACGTTAGAATTTGAGAATGACAATGAATGTCAAAATGTGTTATACGGAGCTAATGAGCAAGCGTATTTAATGTAACAGTAGATTTACTAAATTTTTTATGAAGATTTGATATGTAGGTATGAATTTGTGTACATAAATAAAAAAAATAACACATGTATATCTGTTGTTTAATTTGTTTCACATAAAAAATGACTTAGTCATGGTAAAACTGTCTGGGTTTAGTGGAGATTAAACCTTGATTTTTATTAAATTTACAAAGAAAGACTTATTTTCGATATAATAATTTGTATTTTGTTTATCATCTTTTAATGAATTTTGGACAATTATCTTAGTTTTCAAATTTGTCTTCTGGCATTCAGTACTTCGCGAAAATAGATTTCAATTGGTAAGAGATATGTATCGCTGACTTTCAATATATCTGTGTGTATTTTCCTCTCACATTAACAGGCGTAACATCTGGTAATCCAGTGACTTCCACACAAATGACAGGAGCATGGTGACAGAAACAAAAGTAAACCATAACAAAAAACCACAACAGCGCTGCTGCGCTAATAAACATTTGATAATAATAAAAAGAGTAAGTAATATTAAAATAACTTTATTTGATTATGCTTAAAGTAATAATGGGAAAACAAATATTATCACAAAAATATCCCTATTTTAGATATTATGTAGGGAGTTTCATAATAGTTTTAAGATGAAAACCTTACACTGAAAATATTTATGAATTGCAATGATAATCAGATCCACTGACATACTTATAACTTAAGCTACAAACGATAATCTGCTGTAGGACTTCCGCACTAGGTTCATATTTATATTTGAGGGAAAAGAACATCGTGGTGTGTAAAGTATATTTGTAGTGATGTATCGGGCATGTTCATTCATCATCACTTTCTTCTGCGTCATCTGATTCGCTTTCGGAACCGGAATCTTCGTCTTCCGAATCGGATCCGAGCCAATCCGGCAGCGAGGGCTGCTCTATAATTGTTTTCCATTCGTTTAGTTTGTGTAGATCTATCAATAAAAATAAACAAATATTAAAAATAAGACCAAAAACTAAGGTGTAAAGTTAAATATAACGTATTACGGTTCCGTTTTCATCATGATCGGTATGTGACTAATGTAGCTCACCGATGTATAGCGGGAGAAAGAAAAAATCCGTCACCATAAAGTCGAATTTTGCTTACAACAGCTCAATAATCACCACCAATATTACCCAAAAAGAGCATGTTATGATTTGTTCTGTATTGCCAATGTCAATTTTATTTAATGTCAATGCTATGCCTTCTTCTTTTTTAAATCATGGCCTATTTGTGTTTACACAATTCCGCCAATGTCACGTTTGTGGTTTTTACACGTAAAGAAAAATATGACAATTTTGAATTTGGGGTAATGGATAAAACAATAAAAACAAATAGTTTAACATGGTTTTCTACGCAGTATTATAATGAGTGCTATAAGGTAGTAAGTGCTCGCGATTTCAAAGGAGTCTGTTTAAAATTTGACGAACCTTTCCATTCCCCCACTGTACCTGCGCAGAACGGTAAAAAATCCACCAAATAGCAACGCGCCTTAGCCCCGCCGAGTGAGAGCGAGATGAATACCTAGTGCTGTATTTTACACATTGGCGGTATTGAAATAAGACTCATTATACATTCTAATCATATGTTTCGACATCATTGGAATCGGTAGATCTGCTCTACGCAAACGAAGATTCCAAATGAGTCATGTTAGTTGAAACTCATTGTATAACCACCACAAATTAACTTGGCACCTGAAGGCCTATTATTAGTCCTCGAACGAAAATTCCGGAAATTTTCAATCGTTTTCCAATCAATTTTGTTAAAATCATGTTAAGATGATCTGTGCGTCAGAGGCAAGGTCAGTCATTTCATTGTTGGATCACAAGTTATCAGACAATACGTTTCTTCGGATGACATTTGCCGGTGAGATAGAATAGGCGTTAAGATGTCATGTTAATTCATGAGAATAGTTCCCATGGGAAGCGTCATAATCAGCCTATTTATGTCCCCACTGCAAGGGCTCAGGCTTTCCTTACAGGATAATGGGCCATGACCCCCACGATGGCCCAATGCGGATTGGGTATTAACGTCCTGCAAATGCAACTGGGTCCGACGGCTTAACATACCTCTCGAACCAGGTAGGAGCTCGAGATAATATTTTTTGGTCACCCATCCCGTGACCGGCCTTTGCGAAAATTGCTCAACAACAACATATTACAAATAACATTGTAAACCAAGGTGAAACTAACCTAAGCTGTACATATCTCCGAGATAGAACTGCTTCTCGTCCTTCTCCAGCACGCCGCCGTACAGGTAGAGCGTGGCGCGTTGCACCGCCAGCATGCAGGACATGCGTGGGGAGGGGCGGTTACCCCCCGACCCCCGCCCCCGCGCGGGGGGCGCAGGGGGACGCGACCCCCGCGCTCGCCGCGGCCCCCGCCCCCAGTCTCATAGTGAACACCTCGTCTGTCACTACTACAAAAAGAAAAGAAAAATGTGGCGTGTTAGGTTGGTACAGCACACGCGCATTTACCTGATAGGCAAAACAAAATCTTTCACCCACTTGTTTGTTTCAGCAGTCATATTTTTTTAATTAATTATTTATTGTTACGGTATACTACATTTCCGTTATATTGACCACGCCCCCCATATTATTGAACTACTGTCTTGCCAACCCTCGAAATTAAAATAAGAACAAAAATAAACATTACATGCTAGTGTGTGTGTGCGTCTGTGTGTGTTTTTGTGTATGATACTTACATCATGTCTGTGTCAAAATTGTATTATTCAAACAGTACTAATATAGATACAAACAACATTGCTGAATAAACTTAATGTGTAATTATGTTCAATTCTGTAATGCAAATTTAATAAAGTGTGTATATGTGTGTGCGTGTGCGTGTGGGTGTGTGTGTGTGTGTGTGTGTGTGTGTGTGTGTGTGTGTGTGTGTGTGTGTGTGTGTGTGTGTGTGTGTGTGTGTGTGTCTGTGTGTGTGTTACATTAAACATTTACTGATAATTATTTCCAGTCATACCAGTGACGGCTTCGTCGGGTTTTTCATCGGCAGCGGCCGTTTGCTCTTCCACCGGCCGACTGACCTGGTCGCACTTGAGGGTCACGTTGTGCCACTTGCCTGTCTCCAGGTCCAGCATCAGCAGCTCATCACTTATCTCGCCGCGGATGTCTTCTTCAGTTTCTTCTACATCCTGATACATTTATAAGCACTGTGTATTTTATAAATTGATATTTGTAAAACTACTATTTTAAACCTTAATATTTTATCGCTAACTATCATAGTATCGTATATCATCTTGCAACGTTTATTGGATAAAGTTATTATATAAATAAAAAATAAAAGAAATATAAATAAAATAAAAAATAAAGGATGCTCATAAATTCTATCAATTAAAAGTAAAAATCACATTTGATAAAATCTCATTTAAATATTATTTTAAAACATATAACTAACATACAAAATATTATTGTCATTATGGTACATCATATGCGTGTGACATAGGCTATAATTTTTTTGGGCGAAGTTACGAGAAAACAACTATAGTACGGATGCTCAACAGAAATAATTTCGTACGTTGACCTCTGTACCTATTGATAGATATTGAGTAGTTTTTTTATTAGGTATTAATATATCGGTTTTTCTACCAATATATTATTTTAAACTCTTATTTGGTTATTCATACTGTTTTATTTTTTGCCGATCAGTATTAAATCGTTAAGCAATTTTCGCAAGAGTCGGCCACGGGATGGTTGACCAAAAAATTATTATCTCGAGCTACTCCGTGCTTCGGAAGGCACGTTAAGCCGTTGGTCCCGGCTGCATTTGCAGTCGTTTATACCCTCCAATCCGCATTGGGCCAGCGTGGAGGGTCATGGCCCATCCTCCTTAACCATCCATAAGGAAGGCCTGAGCCCCTGCAGTGGGGACGTAAAAGTGCTGATGATGATATATTTATAACTGAACTAGCTTTCGCTAGCGGCTTCGCCCGCGTGGTCCCTATGGATATGTTCAGTGGGATAAAAAGTATCCATTATCTAAGTCAGCTAATACCCTATCTGTATACCAAATTTCATCAAAATCCGTTCAGTAGTTTCGGTGTGATTGACCGACAAACATTCAAACAAAGAAACTTTCACATTTATAATATTAATAGGATATTATGTTCTGTTATGAAATTTGATATTAAAATGATTTGCATGGACGTGGGAAGGGAAATGCGGGCGGATATTAAAGAACTAATAAAAGAGGAGCAATCATGGAGGAGGCATTCGAAGAAAATGTGGTTCAAGTCTTCAACACTGTCAACTGTTCCTAGTCTAGAAAGACGAGAGGCAGAACGAATACAGTATCTAACAACAGTGCGGGTATACGTACGCTGACGCCGCCGAACACGTACCCGCGGCCGGTGTGCGCGCTAAGGGCGGCGGCGAGCGAGGCGCGCGCGGGCGGCGCGTGCGGGCCGCCGGCCAGCGCGCGCCACGTGAGCGCCCCGCCCTTAGGCGCCAGCCGGAACAGGTCCGTGTGCGTGTACGTGCGCTCCGTGCGGCCGTCGCGCGACCGCGAGAACCCGCCGTACACTATCAACTGGTACGTGAACGACACTCAGTATGGTAACCTTTGGAATATACCCCACTGCCCTCCCGAGCCTAAATTTGCGTTTTCAGTAACGGCAAAATTTGCGTTTTCGAGTTTTTCATAGCATCCGAAAACCCACGAGGGATGACGACTGAGTAAAAAAAAACTATTTAGTCCGTCAGTCGGATAACAGGAAAATATTAGATACGTATATTTTTTACTTCAATTTAACAAGAAATAGCTTAGATAACATGCATTAAAGTCGCTACGTCACAGTTTTGTAGAAAGTGTACAAAAGCGTGAAATTTTAACTCAATGTATAAACGTAATGATTACGAAAAAAATATGTGTTGAATATTTTTCAACAATCTATCAAACTAACAAACAACTTTTTACTGAGTTACTGAGTATAACGGACAGTAATACTCAGTAACTCAGTAAAAATTATTACTTTACTGCACTTTAAACAGTTTAAACAATTCAGCAAAAAACTAGAAGCAGTAAAAGAAGTTAAAAGATTATAATGGCTATTATAATTAATTTATTTTTAATGTTTTCAACTTGAAATTAGTGAATAATTTCAGTATTCTAATTTTTCCTACACTTTGCATTCAAAATTTGATCATAAACAGTGATTTGTTGTGGACACATAACATCTACACTTCACGTGCGATTGTCAATTTCTTGATTCTACTATTACTACGGTTTAGGTTCGGTTTATCTATTTATATGGACTATAACTTAACTATTTGCTTTGGTAACACACGCGTTTTTTATGAACCGCTTTACATTTTTAAGCCCGATGGAATTACATCAGCTTTACGAGCAAAGGTGTTAAAAAATAATATTACCAATAGATCTAGACAGTCATAACTCACACTATCGTTCCCGGCGGGCAGCATGACGCACGCGGACCTGGCGCTCGGGCCGCGGCCGCTGGCGCTGAGCCTGCTCCAGGTCCTCGTGTCGAGGCAGAACGCGTGCAGGTCGTCGAAGTAGCGGTAGTCGCGCCCGTCGTCGCAGTAGCCGCCAAACACTAGCAGCTTGCGACCCAGCGTTACCATGCGGTGGCCAGAACGGGCAGAGGGACCGTTTGGAGCCACTACCTAAAAGTTGAGAATATATATCAAAATCATTTATCCAGTCAAGGTTGTTGCAGGCTCTTGTGAAAGGAACTCTATACTCTAAGTTTGTAAATCTGAGACTAGAAACATTGTGCTGAAAAGAATGAAAAGACTCTGCAAAGGACTGTTTAGTTATCCGTATAACTTTAGCAGCCACTCTGAAAAATAACATCAAAAGTGTGAAATCATCTTCTATTCCAATACTTACAAACATTCCAAAAATTTAAATTGAAGATGGAGGTGACCGGTGTACACATGTGATGTACACAGAGCGAAAATTCACGTGATGATTTTTTTATTGAAAAGCTTATAATTGAAAGCACTTATGAATATTTGTGAATGTGAGTGTAAGCGAAAGAATCTTAACAGTAACTACGTTTACACAAACCGACCAATTTGATCTCAAATGTCGACAGATTAAAATATAACCTCCACTGAAGTTTATAAATATAATTGCTATTCTAAATCTCACCTTCTCCCATTTCTTTTCTGCTAATGAGAAGCACCATAAATCTTTGTAGTGGTGGAACTGTGTCTCTGTAGGACTTGTGAATTCTCCACCAAACACCCAAAGCTCGCCTCTAAAAATAAATCAATTAAACTTGACTAAACAAGATTCTCATTGAAGTTGGGGGGGGAGGGGGCACTATGGAAAATTTGTAATTTAAGGGTACGACTGCAATAAGGATTTTGTTTTGAATTTCAATTTAATATTAACAAAGTGTTGTGAGTAAGAATAGTAGCAATAAATATAATATTACATGTCATCATAGTTTGTGAAGTCGATAGTCTTGTTGCCTATGCATATTGAAATAATTCACTTATTCTGATCAATTGATCATACTTATTAGCAGGAGTGGCGACGGCCTGATGTGCGCTCCTAGGCGGCGGTGCACCCGGCGCTTTCACTTGCCGCCACAAATTCTTCTCTGGGTTGTAGAACAACAGCTCATTGTACACTTCTGTCTGAGAACAGGCACATTAGTTAGCTGATTTACGGTTAATTTAAACACTGTTTTCAAATAAGAATTCATTTTGGAAACTCGATCGCAGGAATCACAATTGTTAGTGTTACTACAAGCCGTAGCTGATAAGCATTAGCTTCTGATCAAAGAATGCAACCGCTGCAGCATAAGCATTAGCTTCTGATCAAAGAATGGCTAAGCTTTACACACTTCCAACAATCTCTGGAGACCTGTTGCAGTGGCTCCATTTTAAACGTACTGCTAATAATTCGTATACACCTTTACAAAATATAACAGGTATATAAATATAGCTCCATGGAGTCGCCTACAAAGCTATAGCGTCCGTGTTATTATGCGGTAAGAACCTTGACTAGATCATATGCATCTAAGAAAACTACTTCTCTGTACACAATGAGTTCTAGTCTTGCTCGAGCTTAGGTTTGCTAGGGCTGGTCCTAATTAGAAGTTGTATACTTTTTCAACAAGCATGGAGGTCCAATATTGGTTGGTTTACTGAATTTTCCCCTGAAGAATTGTCAAAGTGGACTGAATCAAACGGTTTTTCAAGTAACATCAATTAAAATCTCACATTGGTGTGCTGCAACATACATAGTGATACAAGAATGTTCAAGCTATTTATCACCCAGAAAATTATCAAAATAATAGAAAATTCTAGTGTTGCAGAATTCAAATTCATTTATTCAACACAGATACAGGACACAGTAGAATAAAGACAAACATACAGAAGAAAGCTTAAATAAAAGTAAAAAATAGTGTCCCATGCCTGCGTCAAAAAGGCATCTAGTTCAGCATTTGTCAGTGACGCTGACGCTCATCTAGAAAGTGCTAAATGAGTGAGACATCCATATAGATATTACCCAGCTCACGCTGTGCATCCATCAGGTATTGCCGCAAGTGTTTTTTAAAAGCAAACAGTGATTTACTATCTCTTATTGGCGGAGGGATGTTATTCCAAATTTTAGATGCTGCGTATCGGAAACTACCTCTGAACGATGAAGTTCTATGATATTCAGTAGCCAGCTGCTTTGCACATTGCCTCCTGCCTAGTTTTTTTTTACTATCGAACCAGACAAGTCTACTATATAAATATGATGGTTCTTTTGTATTTATTACTCCGAAAAGTAGGCACGCGAGATGTAGTTTGCGTCTTGATTTCATTTTTAAAATGTGATGTTCGTTCAGGAATGGCGTGACGTGATCTCTACGGGGTATTCCGAAGCAAAAACGAGCACACGCATTCTGTAATCTTTGTATAAGTCGATCACTCCGAGCCAGAAGTCGTGGACCATATACAATATCCGCGTAGTTGAGTTTGGACAAGACCAAAGACTCAACCAGGCGCACACGCAACTCCTCAGATAAGAAAAGTCTAATCCTATAGAGCACCTTTAAGCGATAAAAACAGTTTTGAACCGTACCAGCCACATGCTTTTCGAACCGCAAAGAAGAATCAACGTTCAATCCTAAGTTCAATCCTAAGAATGGTAACCTCATTATTTTATTTGGTATAAAAAGCTCTTGGTCTTAAAATTCTTATTGCTGGGGCACAGGAATAAGTCTCTATGGATTGAATAATTAGTGAGAGGACTAGGTGGTGCATAGTAGCCTGAACTTTAAACAACAAAGAAACAAATTTAGGCTAACAAGCACAACTGGTACCAATCATGTTTTATTATTACACATGTCATATTGCATTTTAATATGGCGTAAACTTTATTGTGGTAATGTTACATTACAATACAACTGTAAAGGGCATGAAGAAAACAAAAATAGTTATCTCCCTATTAGAACCATACAGCATACATCCTGTTAGAATGAGATAAACATATTTGCTTAGCTTTATATGAAAAAATGGCTGTTTTCAATGACATTTTATTATTTTTAATAAAATAAAAACAGGGTAAGTACAAAGCATATAAAATATCATTTTATGCGTTACTTATTCATTAACTTTTCTCATTGTCAATGTGTTATTGGTGTATTGTTTAAAAATGCAGGAAGGCGTTATTTCTACAACTTTTCACACAAAATTACAAATAATAATGACGTTAGACACAATGCATGCTGATACATGACTAAAGTCAGGCGATTGCCTTGCTTTAATTATTGGCTGGAACCAACAGCTTAAACTATGCTTTCTCTATGTTCTATAAGGAAGAGCTTGATATAGCACTTTTGGTCACTCATCATATGATTGGCCATTACAAAATATTACAGAAGCAACACAACAACACTAACCATAGATGCTCTGGACCTCCTTAAAACCTAAAATTTAGTTTTATTACTTTGAGTATCCAACAAATTATTTACCGTCTGCCCATTGTGGTATTCTCCACCAAACATAATTAACTCATTGTTGATAGGATGAGGTGTCAAAGAAGCATATGCTCTTGTAGAGGGTGGTCCAGCAAGAATCTTTTCTGTAGCAGCAGAACGTTTGGCTTCTTCACGTTCTATTTCAGCGATTACTTTTGCAATATCTTCCTGAAAAAATATTAGAAAAATAATTGCTTATTAATCTTACATTTTTTAATATGGTAACAGCTGTTAGTAAGCTTCTAGTTTCTTATTAATAAAAAGGTAAGTTTAACTGACATTTCTTTCTTTACCACCACAAATATGCAATATAATTGACATTGTTTTTGATTGTTTTATGGAAAATAAATAATAAAAACAAAAGCATGGACTAACCTCTCCCAAGTCCGCAAGTTCTTTTTTTAGTTTGTTTGCTAATTTCTTCTCAGTTTTTGCAGCAGTTTTAACTGCACCACTAACTTTATTCTTATTTTTCTTCTTCCCCATTTTATTTTCTTTTACAAAATAAGTAAAGAAAAAAAGACTATTAACTATTTTGAGGTTAGCAGCTTGGCATTTTTTTTTTTCAAAATAAAAGTTTTACCGGCCATGGCTTCTATGGCCTTCAGCTTACCTTCAGCTTGCAGCTTGTCAATGCCGTGTCCACAGACAAATAAGATGGTCGTGTCAAACAAATGAGAAAGAATTTTAAGAAAAAAAAGAAAGCACAAAAAAGCACCTCACTAGGTGGCGACCCTACCGAAAGAAATGGATCCAAGACAGTTATTTCCATTTCTTTTAAGTAACATATTAAAAAAACTGAAATTTGAGAAGTTCGCAACTTAGATATCAATACAAATATGAAAAAGTACAAATAGAATATGAGGTCCTTATTGAGATTTGAATACTTTTAAATTTGAAAGAAAACTGGAAATGTTATGGAGAAATCAAGAAGGTACAGTAGCGACATCTAGTTTGATTTCGGGAACTAATTTTTTTTTTAAATACTTCCTCATTGAATTTCAACTCGATATTAATCCAAATTATCAGATTCATAACAACACTGACAATTCTATTTTCTTCTTCTTCTTCTTCTTTAATTAATGGCTTATCTGCGCGTTTCGCACAATTCTGCCAATTTCACGTGAAAAGCTATTACACGGTAGGGATATTTATGAGAAAAAAAGAATTTTGGAAAAGGCTTATTAAAAATTAATTCACTTCCTATGACAGTTTAGCGATCCTGAAACAAAATACAACACATTTACGACATGCAGGACATAACACAACAAATACACCTATGAATACCGATTAAATAGGCAGGACTTTTACAATTTAATTTTGTTATTTAATATAAATTTAATTAGTATGCTTAGCAAAGGTGAATTAACTAGTTGAAGGATATTTTTGACATTTAGGGGCCGGGGTATATCATTTGGAAGGGAATCATATAAGGAATAACGAAGTTTGGGGCATTCAAATAACACATGTTCGACTGATCCTTCATCCAGTCCGCATTCACAAAGGGAATTGTCCTTAACTTTAATTTTGGCTAAGTGGACAGGTACGCAAGAGTGTCCAAGTCGGAGGCGACACAATGCTGAAACCACTTGTTTTGGAACATTTTTCCGACGGTGATACCAAGGTTTATAGGGAATTATTGGCTGGATGTCGTAATAATATTTACCGGTTTTTATTCGAGTATTCTGCCAATGTGTTTCCCACGACTGATATAAATGAGAATGAGTAAGAGGGAGAAAATCTTGACATGGTAGTTTGGGATAGCTTGCAATACCACTAGATATTGCTGTACGAGCACATGAATCCGCCGAATCATTGCCTTTTATGCCACTGTGGCCTGGGATCCAAGCCAACACTAGTTCTATGTTTTTCTTTCTACATCTATATAACGCTTCTCTGATTTTAAGTATAATAGGAAAGCGAGATTTAGACCTGAAAGGGTTGGAAGAGATTGATTGAAGACAACTCATTGAATCAGATAAAATTAAAGTTTCATTAAGGTTGTGAGATTCACAATATAAGATTGCTTCTAGAATAGCTATTGCCTCACCTGTAAAGACCGATGAGGGTGAAGGAACTTTAAAACTTAATACTATACTAAACTTAGGTATCCACACTGCAGCACCAACACTACTCGTATTTGACAGTTTTGAGGCATCCGTAAACATTAGAAGCCAATGAGGCCAGTTTTTAGCAATTACTTTATTTAAATCTTGGTTTGCACTGGGAGAATGTTTTTCAATACCCAAATTCAGTACTATGTTAGGGTTAAAAAGCAACGATTCAAAGCTATTTAGGAATAGAGGATTACGGGGGAATTTCTCGATCATTATAGAAGGGCGACAGAACTTCGAGTAACTCGTTAAAATACAGGGAATTTTTTGATGTGAATTGGGACCTATGACGGTAACATCGACAAGTTTGTGTAGAATAGCTAGCAACGGGTGGGATTCATTTTGTAAAATTTTGAGGAAAAATCTGTCACTAAGATATTGCCTACGAAGAAAAAGGGGGGGGTCAGCAGCCTCTATTTGGAGGGCATTAATGGGGGAGGACTTCATAGCCCCTAGAATAATACGCAAACACTTCGATTGAATTTTGTTTATTTTGTCTAATGCGGATACATTGCAAGGGTCGAGAAGGAAGGAACCATAATCAAAGTGACTGCGCACTATGGCGTTATATATTAGTTTTTGGGTAACTGGGTGTGCACCCCACCAAACACCAGAGAGCGCACGAAGAACATTGACACCTTTTTCTGCCTTGTTGGCAACATTATTGAAGTGAGCCGTTCCCGATAGTTTGGAATCCAAAATCATACCTAGGAATTTAACACAGTCTTTTATGTCTATGACAGAATTTTGAAATTTTATAACAGGAGTAGGAACATTTCGTTTTTTGGTAAAGATAACAGCACTACACTTTGGTGGGGAAATTGATAAACCGTGTTTTTCTAACCATTCCCCGAGGTGATTTAGAGCAGAGTTCATACGTGAAGTTGCTTCCGGTATGGATTTTACTCGTACGTATAGAGCTATATCATCTGCGTATTGGAGAGTGTTGCAAAAGCAATTTGTGGAAAGCTCCATATCATGCGTGTATAAACTATATAAAATAGGACTAAGGACTGATCCTTGAGGTAACCCTTTCCAGACCGTCCTTGCCAGTGAATGATTTTGATGCCTTATCAGGATGGATCTAGTTGTGATTGAGTTGCAAATGAACCGAACTAATTTCTCAGGAACACTCAGCTGATGCATTTTATGCCTGAGCACTGGAATAAGGACATTATCATAAGCAGAAGCAACATCTAGAAAGACACCAAGAAGGTATTCTTTGTTTTGAAATGCTAATCGAATATCCGATGTTAATAAACTTAAACTGTCCATGGTACTAAAGCCCTTTCTGAAACCATATTGAGATTTAGCAATGATATTACGGCTTTCCACAATCCATTCCAGGCGGTTTTTAATCATGTGTTCCATGATTTTTAGGAGGACAGATGATAGGGCAATAGGGCGGTAGGAAGAGTGATTAGAGGGATCTTTCCCTGGTTTGATTAAAGGGATGATTATTTGCTTAGACCACTGAACTGGGATGGAACCGGTATCGTAAAATGAATTAATCAATTTTAAATAATATTGTTTTATTTTGTCGGAGGCTCTTATCAGGAAAGAGTATGGAATGCCATCCAAGCCTGGAGAAGTATCCCTTAAACCAGAAAGAGCTTTTTGGAGTTCTTCAAATGAAAAGACCTCATCCAAGTTGTCTTTAGAGGACAGAGTGACATGTAGTTTCACAGGAAGGCAATCAAAATTTGGGGCAAATGGGGGGGCTAATTTATCGGCAAATAGATCGATCCAGATAGAGGGATCATTAGCCGTCAGATTCGCACGGTTGCGAGCCCTACGGAATCTTTTTAATTGTTTCCATACTATTGTCGATGGAGTGCCAGGAGCCAACGATTCACAAAAGTTAATCCAACCAATTCTTTTTTTGTATTTAAGCATCTTTTTGGTTTGAGCCGCGACTCGCTGGTAAGCTACAAAATTATCCATGGTCATGGCGTTCCTGTAAGTTTTCTCAGACTCTTTACGTTTTTTGATAGCTTCTGAGCATTCAGAGTCCCACCAAGGGGGGGGAACTTTTTTACGAATGTTGTTTTTCTTCGGAATACTGGTTTCAGCAGAGTCTATTAACATCTCAGTAAACATGTCGTAAGCCTTTTGATGATTTTCTGTAGTAATTGGAGGAAGTGAAATAGAATTGCTGTCCAGCGTTCTGGTATAGGTCGACCAATCAGCTTTGTGTAACCTAAACTGAAGTAAGGGGGGGTGGAGATTGGTAGGGGAAGTGTGATCTAATATCGAAATAAGAATTGGAAAATGATCACTGCCATGTGTGCTGTTTAGCACATTCCAGGCCACATCGGATGCCAAAGAAGGGGGACAAATTGTGAGGTCTACTGCTGATGGATTTTGGTTAGGACGAGTCCTCCTGGTGGGACTACCATCATTGATAACACAGAGGTCTCTATCGTCGATAAGATCTAGAAGTTGATAACCAAGCGAGTCATTAGTATACGAACCCCATGAAACATGGTGTGCATTAAAATCCCCCATTATTACTATGGGTGAAGGGAGGGATGATAAAATAGAGTTTAATTCTTGTATAACTAAACTATGCGTTGATTGCGGGGGAATATATATTGAGAGGTAAGATATATTTGAAATTCTTGCAGCTACTGCATTAATACAGTTGTTGTGTGTCAGGTTAATTTGATTAAAAGGAAGAGAGTAACTAATCAACAGAGCACTTCCACCATATCCATCAGCTCTGTCATCCCGGAGACAAGAGTACCCTGAAACACCAAAGGTGTTACCAGGCACCAACCATGTCTCCGATAAGGCAAGAATGAACGGAGAGAACTTATTAATGAGATAATTTAATTCGTAAGTTTTGGGTACTATACTACAACAATTCCACTGAATTATCTTCGCCATTTTTATTATTGTAAATAAATTTATTAAGTTGACTTATTCTATGTGCAACGTTGGACGGTATAGGAATATCATCAAACCTGTTAAGAAGGCTGAAAACAAAGGACAAAAGGGCATCTAACAAGTTATCATTGGGGGTGGTTTCAGAGAGGATAGTTGAGTTATCATTGTTAAGGGCATAACCATTAGGGAGCGAAGATGGGCAGTTTTGGACAATAGCCTGATGAGCTATTCTATCAAATCCAATATTTGAAGGAGCTCTAGGTTTGGGGGATTTGGTAACCAATTTTTTATATGAGGATGAAGGACTTAAGGCCTTGGGAGAGGATTGGAGTTGAGGAAGGGATGTAGCTTGGGTTGGAGATTGGACGACATCAGCATAAGATCTCCTTACCGAGGGGAATCTTTCTGATGCCTCTTGGTAGGATATGTTGTCTTGAGACATTGATATTTTAATAGATCTTTGCCTAGAATGTTCTGGACAGTTCTTATTAGATGCAAAGTGGCATCCTGAGCAGTAAAGGCAGGTTGCCTTTGATTCTTCTACCATACAAGACTGACCTGAGTGTGGTTGTGCACAGCGGAAGCAACGTGGCTTGGATCGACATTGGGGTTTAATATGTCCGAACCTGCAGCAGTTCATGCATTGAATAGTTGGGAGTTGGTATGTCTCTACTGCCAAGGATGTATGATATACAAATATTCTATTAGGGAGAACCTGCCCTTGGAATGTGAGAACAACTGTTTGTGTGGGGACCCAGGATACTTGCCCTTCAGAGATTGACTTTCTGTTAAGTCGTCTTGCTTTCAGAACCACTCCACAGTTAACGGGAACAACTAAAGAATCTACAAACTCTTCCATTGATAAGTCCGAGGGAACACCTTTAACGATGCCCATGCGAGTAATGTTGTAGTTGGGAATTGTAGCACTGTATTTATATATTGATAAAAAAGGGTTTTTTAAGAATTGATTAGCGTCAGTGTTGGTTTTGAATTCCACAGATATCCTGTTACGACCTATCTTTTTTATACCGTCATTCAATATGTTTTCAACTTTGTTTTTAACTAAAAATTGCCCGAATTTGATAGGGTGAATAGATGTGCCAGATGAAAGATCTGTCTCAATTTTAGAAACATGTATAATGAATGGTCCCTTATCACTGTTTAAATATTGTTTATTTGACTGATTTAAAAAGGGATGGGTGTATATGCCAGGAGAGGGGTCTAATGTGTCCGACTGACAGGACTCAGTAATTATTCTTTTAGAAGGCGCGTCGTTTACCTCGGGTTCAGTATCATTACGTCGTTTGAGGCTAGTCTGGGTAAATAAAGGAGGTGAAAGTTCCATTGATGAATAATGCGTCGGAGACCGGTCCGGTGGATCCGGTGGATCCGGAGGGGTCCTTTCCATGATTACTTTGTAATCAATGGAAAGGACAGGAGAACAAATAAATAGGTACTTACCAACACCTTATGTTAGGACAAAACACAAACACTTAATTATATCGCAGTTCCGCGTAGAAAGAAGGCTTAAAATTAACAAAACAAACGAAATCCCTTAAACACGTGTAATAACAAACACTAATGAGGGCAGCATCCAAATTCTATTCTCTTTGTTATAACTTCATGAATTGACATTTAGATCCTACAATTTGTGCTGCCATCTAGTGACATAAATTTTTGTAGTTCCTTTATTTTTTTTTAAATAATTCCTCATTCACTTTTTGGATGTGACAAATTATAATAGGGTATTTGACACTATCGAAAATAAGTTTCATTTTGTGGTCATCCTGATAGATAATAATCTAATAAAGCTTATTTCTTAACATCTGTAGAGAAAACATGTTAAGATTTAGTAAAATAACGTAAAGAAAATGCAATATTTTAAGGAATTCATTCAACGACGAAAACGTCCTATAATTGGTCGTCGTCACAACCAATCACGAATCTGTTTCTTGGAGTGTGACGTCATCAGCTGTCATGTCAAAGTAATGTTAGAAAGATACATAAAATATCGATGCCTGTAGGTGTAGAGTACTTTATAGTAATTTACTGATAACAGAATACTTTGCCGCTTCTACTGATAAGAACTGCCAAAAAGAAATACAGAAAGAAAGAATCATTTACTAAGCTTTTTAAAAAATCCAAGAAATAGGGAAAACGCCAGCAATTTTAAAAAAGAGCAACTTACATGTTTTTCTCATTTCTTGAACTTTAATATAATAATTCAAAATAATAAAGTCGATTTTGATGATATACACTGTTCTCCAAGTTAAAAAGTAATTTAAAAAAGTCATCGGGATCTGATATCTAATTATCAAATGCCATGCATATAGTGAACAGACATACTACATGCGTGTATAAAAAAAAATTGAACATTCTTTATCGTACTAATGTCTCAGCCATCTGTAGGTAGACAGGCTGTAAAATGCGAGCCCTGTCAACAAATATAAATGAGTCGTAAAATGTTTATGACAAAGAAAAAAATGAAAAGAAAACCTTCAAATGCCTAACCTAATTTTATCACCCATCTCTACCACAGTGTAAATATTAGTATACGGTGGTGAAACTGCCTACAAGCGTCCAAAATCGCACGCACACATAAACACGCTCACCGACGAGCCGCTTAAGTGGACCTAACAGGACGCTCAGTAACGCGTATCGCGTCGAGATGAGGAGTCACGTTACACGTTCGGCGATCGTTTTTATTTAAAAAATTAAGGAAAGGAGTAGGCTTATGTGAAATAAAAAATAAGTTTTTTTATTTAGATTTAGATGTTTTTTTAAATACCCGTTTCAGTATCATGCATATTTTCAGGTTGAAACGTAGTACGGTTCCACCCGAAAATGCTTGATAAACACCCAAAAACAGCCGCTCATGAGCGCGCCACCTAAATGCAGTGCCTACCTACCACGCGTCTGATTCGAAGAGAACACGAAACGTTGGACGTTTCGTGTGGTCTTCGGCTATGTGTTCGTCAAAACTTGTACAAGGTTATGCCGTAATGTCAAGTTAAAGATCAACATAAAAACAAATATTTACAAGTTGTGTCAATATTAAACTATTTCTCTTACGTTAAACTATCGTCCTTTGCTGAGATTAACCGATTTTTAACTAACTTCAAAAAATGAAGGTTGATAACCTTCATTTGACCTGTGCGTATGATATATTTCCATAACTGCCCAGTTTTCGTATATGTTGTTCTTTATCATGTGGTGATAGAATAATATAAGTAGATATCACCGTCTGAACAAATGTGTATGTATATTTTTTTGTTTGTTAATTAGTTATTATATTACAATTCGATTGATTAATAATGTAAAAACTCCTTTAATATTTTGTAAAAGAAACAATGTCTAAAACATTCAAAATGACAACCCTATTGTTTCAATGGAGCGTAGGTATTTATTTTATCAAATAGGCTTAGTTTCTATACTGTGTCATACTTATACTGTGTCTCTACTCTATATAGCTACTATACTATTGTGATTGTGAATCTATTTTCTTCTGGACTCGAAGTTTGTTTGTTATTTGTAGAAGTATTAGTACATTGTGGCACTACGCACCACTTGTGGCTCATTTTTTAAAGAAAACCAGAGCAGAGGAAAATAAAATACGTAAAAAATACGCACTACGACTTCAATTTCTCTTCTAAATTATTATTTCAATTTGCTCCAAAGACAGTTGTTACTTATTGATTTGACATATTTACTGGCCTGTGACGTCACGATCAGCGCCATTACATAGAGTAGCGTTTTTCGCGCGCTTTTGGCCATTTAAATTTTAGCAATTATTTTTACCAAAAATAGAAAAAATTCCAATGAAATATTATGACAACGATTTCAAATAGTTTTCAGAAAAATGTCAAATACCCTATTGTTTAAATATTTTTTATGGTACAAAACCAACTGAAGTTTGGTGTATGCGCCCTCTCAAATGTAACCAGGAATTTGAACACTATTACCAAATTGTATATGTGTTTATTAAAGAAATCGATAATGCAAACGGTTAGAAATCCAAATAAAAATATTATTAATATTTTCGTATTTATAAGATTTTCCAAAAATATATTCTTAGAGTTCAAAGCAATACGTAGAATTAAATGATTTATTCATTCTACATCAAAGAGTGATAGGGACAAAGTGGATTTTTTAAAGTATTTTCATAAATAATTATCAAATCAACTTCTGAGTAGACCAAACAATCTTTAAGATTTTTATAATACTGTTTAAAAATGCACAGGGTCCACAAGCATAACATTGTAGCGGCGTTTAGTTTGTTTAGAATGTAATATATTTATTACATACCTATTCTTAATCAAAAATGCCTTAAAATTCACTTTGTTCTAGTACTGTACTATTTTTCAATAGGTATAGCATTGTGAATGCAAAATTGATCAAATATAATAATTCATTTTATTACATTTAGAAAGGTTCATTGGTCAAAGTAAAACGTAAAATTGCTTTAGTTTCATATTATACCAATATATATATTTTAATAACAAAGAAATTTGCAATTGTAGTGTTTTCGTAACTTTGAAAAAAAAAAATCCCTTTGCGTTAAATATTAACGAGCCCTATTGTCATTTAAAAATGTCACTTTCTTCATCTGTCGTGTCATGTTTCTATGTTCCGTAATTCTTCATTTAGATTTATTATAAATAATGTTTTAATATGATCTTCTAATTTAAGCATGAATAAGTAATTGATAAACGGTAAATAGTCTACCCATATACGGAATCCAAAAGAAATCTCGATGATGTCTACGGCTGGACCAAGTGTAATGTTTTCTGTTTTTATTTATTAAAGTATCTCGTTTTTCCTTTATTATCATAAATAAAAATCTATTTTTCTTAGCAGTCTTCGCCCTCGGTGCAAGAATTTAAAATAAGAGTGCCGAAAAATGTGAAAAAGAAGTATCATGTAATGCGGTTCAATGCCACCCTAAATGTAGATTTTGCAAAGTGGACTCATGTTAAAATGGAGCGAGAGAATAATATCAAAGAGTTCAAAGGAATTGAGGAAGAGATGCCCAAGTGAGTATGTTTTGCATTCTTCTGCTCACCATCCATCAGCTTTTAGCATTATCACCCTCTTGTTGACATTAATTTTGTCCTTTCTTATTAATTTATAGAAATTCTGTCTCATAGTGAATATTTTAGACCTCCTTGACCGTGCGACTCACACACCTGTTTCATGGCGTTGCCATTGCTAAAGTCCAAATTCTTGTTTGGGTCAAATTTCCCTCAGCTGGACTCTCTTATCACTAAGACTTGTCTTGGGGGGGCAAGATCAAAGTATGGTTGACTTACTGATAAAATCAGTTGTGGAGTACCTTAACATGGGGGGAAGGATCACGTTTCCAGCATAGAAGGCACCAGAAATAATAGACACAGGTAATGTGGTACCTTCAATGTTTCAAATTCCCATACTACAAGTGCTTTAGCTGCTTAAATTGGATGTGAGCAATGTATATGATGTTTTCTAATATCTATTTATTGGGGTAGTGACATTTCATAGTTGACTTTGCAGTTTTTATTGAAATTTGAATGCAAATCTAAAATTGGTCTTGTTTTGTTAAGTGGCAAATTGTGCTGTGTAGGTTTGGTGCAGGTTCAGAATATGGCCGTGACAATCGTGAGGAGGCAAGAAGAAAGAAATTTGGCATCATCTCCAGGAAGTACAAGCCGGAGGACCAGCCATGGATCCTGAAAGTAGGAGGAAAAACTGGAAAGAAGTAAGTGACTTTGAATTAAGGCTCTCTTGTTCCTCTGCTTACCTGTACGAATTCGCATACACTTTTAATCACTTAAAAAAACAAATGCAATTATAAAAAAAATCTTTTGATCATTTTAGATTATATAAAAAGTATTTTTTTATACAATTAAGAAGAAATTAAGAATAATATGGGTAAGTAGTCTAGAGGTTGAAAATGTTCTTGTTTGTTTAAGGTTCAAGGGCACTCGTGAGGGTGGTGTGTCGGAGAACGCTGCATACTACGTGTTCACGCATGCGGCAGACGGTGCCATTGATGCCTACCCTTTACAAGAATGGTAATAAGATTTATAAAGTATACTGTATGTGCATTACATTTGTACTAGGTTACTGATCTGTAACTTGATTCTTTATGCTTAAATAGTTAAAAAAATCATGTTTTTTTATATTTTTCCATTATTACAATAATCATAAACAAGAACAAATTATAATACTCTAACCCGCATTTATTAAATATGCTTGATAGCTAATTAAACCCCCATCACCACCCAGACTGAATGCTGGTGAGTTGATATGATATTTTGGCATTGTTATCCATCATACTTTGTTTCAAAATGGTCTTGGTGGCATTGAATGTATAAATTGTCTGAAAATACTGAAATTGAATGTATAAATTGTCTGAAAAATTGATGTTGAATTTTTTTTGTAAATATTGGTTTTTGATCTTTCCAGGTATAATTTTCAACCTATACAAAGGTACAAAGCTTTATCAGCCGAAGAGGCTGAACAAGAATTTGGAAGGTGAGATTGTCTAGTAAACCTAAGTAAATAAAGTAGTAATTTGTCAAAAGAATCCTTAAAAATTCCACAGTTTCGAGTGCCTTTTGCCCATCTTAAATTATAGAAAAAAGAAGATACAGAAAATAGTTCTATATTTAAACATCAATTTAAAATCTACGAGAACTCTATGGCTTTTAAATTTAATGTTTTATCGAACTTTAATATTTTGTTATTCTAAATTGTTTCTTTTTCAGACGCAATAAGGTAATGAATTACTTCTCGCTTATGTGTCGGAAACGCATGCGTGGTGACGACGCGGCCGACGAAGCTGATGACCCTGACGAAAAGAAGACCAAAGGCTCGAAGGCTAAGAAAGGTGAAATGATAAGGCATTTTCGAACTTATTCCAATGTATATAAGTTCCAAGAAGTGAAAATAGCAGAAAGTTTAAGTTGATAGCCTGAATATTGCTGCAAATTCTAGGTTCCTGTTCTGTCGCTTGAATATTAGATTTAGCACAAATATTTTAAAAGTAATGATTTTCTTTAGTCAAAACAAGTTTTGGGAAAATCCAGCAATTTTCCCTATTATTTAGCTTATTAGTAAAATAAAATTGTTAGTGCACCGGCATAAAGTTCGCTATCGTGTTAACGATTAATACGGTAAAAACCATTTATAAGGTATCACAGATGAATGAAGGTCACGGGATGGGTGACCAAAAAATTATTATCTCGAGCTACTTCGTGCTTCGGAAGGCACGTTAAGCCGTTGGTCCCGGCTGCATTTGCAGTCGTTAATACCCTGCAATCCGCATTGGGCCAGCGTGGAGGGTCATGGCCCATCCTCCTTAACCATCCATAAGGAAAGCCTGAGCCCCTGCAGTGGGGACGTAAAAGGGCTGCTGATGATGATGATGAGAGATTATTGAAAACATTAGAATTATTCAATGAAAGCAATGATCCATAAGGAAAGCCTGTGCCCCTGAAATGGGAACGTAAAAGGGCTGCTGATGATGATGATGAGAGATTATTGAAAACATTAGAATTATTCAATGAAAGCAATGATCAAATAAATTGCTTAATATTAGTACATTTTAGTATATCGTATACAAGTCCCGTAATTTGCGCTGGAACCTTGTCTAAATAACACCCATGTGACGTCATATGAAAATAGAACGTATAGATGGAACAAAAAGCAAGGAGATACATTATTAATAAATAAGGTATCTTGTTGCTTTTATAATTATAGAAATATTTATGAATAATCACCAAAATATTGTTAAAATAATTTAATAACTTTGAGTTTGTTAATTTATTGCATGAATTTTTGGCAAAGAATCGATTTATAAGTAAATATTGAGGTTTATAAAAAATATACATGAAAAAATAACATTTACTTTGTAACAACGCGATTACAAACGGACATTTTTAAATATGTTACCACAAGTAATAATGAAATGAGAGACATTAGACATAGTATTATTAGTGATTAGCAGTGGTCGGAATTAGGTAGAGTTATTCATGTACTTACACTGATTTCATACAGCGAGAGAATAAAGTGGATATGCCTCAAATCCCGAGATTAATTTTAAAGAGCAGAAAAAATCCCGTGATTTTTTAAATAAAAAGATATTTACTTTTACACAATTTAAACTACTGCACGCACGACGTTGCCAAACTTACATCAATGACATCGGATGTCCAAAGATGTCCAAGATTGTCCATTAGAAATCCGGGGAAGGTCCACATTAATATCAACATTTCGATGCAAGTACATAAATAACTCTACCTAATTCCGACCTCTGGTGATTAGACATATTTACTTTTTTATTCTACCATAACAAGTGACAATAAAACTTAACAATAATAATCAAAACCAACAAAAGCATTACTGTGAAGAGGCGTTTATGATGAATAATTTTGCATTTCGTAGACTTGAAAATATCAGAAATGGATGAGTGGATAGATTCCAATGACGACTCGTCCGACTCTGAAGCTGGAGAGAAGGATAACGATAGTGACTCCGCCGCTAAAAAGAAGAAGGACAAAAAAGGTAAGACCATTCTGGTGGTAACGTATATACAAATCGGACGTATTAACATGACACCACGCCCAGAGGCGGATGAATCCCGTCAGAGCCTTAGACAATCGAATTCTTGAGGCGCCTTTTCTTAACCTGACTTGAACAAATTCTGTGTTGTGAATATCCACAGAGCTTTGCGGGATTGAGTATACAGTTATCTTTTTAAAAATTTTATTGCATTCCAAAACAATCATTTCTTAAGAGCTAACCATTATTATTTATTACACATTATAATTTCAATTATTATTATTATTTTATCGATTTGTTAATTAAAATGAATAGTTATTTTATTTAATAAATATCAATGTTTTGATATTCGTGCGTACCTTGTCACCTTAGGGTTTCAGCTGAAAATCAGTGTTAGGTACTCTTGCGCTTAGGCATCAACTCAGCATAATGTTAGCATTATGCTGAGTTGATGGCCCATTTGGTACCTTACTTATTATAAACCATGTATTTTTTTTATTTGCATTGAGTTATATTTTATTCTCGTCTTTTTTTCTTTGTAATTTATATAGGTGTCAATAAACAATTATTCTATTCTAACTCGCTATAAACAATAAATAAACTGTCTTCATACAAGTGTTGTTGATTTTTGTGGACATCTCTTCGATCTTGAATGCAATTGTTGTAGCTACATTTTTTGTAAATATCATTAGGGGCTGTGACTAAAAAGAAAAAGAAAGTGGAGGACGAAGCTTTCGAGGAGAGCGATGACGGCGACGAGGAGGGAAGAGAGAAGGATTATATATCAGATTCATCTGAAAGGTAACCATAACAAGTTTGTAATAAGGTTCACTTTTAAAACACGTTTTAGCAAAAACTTAAATAAGCTTAAATTTTATTTATGTACAGTAACATAAAAGGTTACCTTATATAATAATCTTTTGCCTTTTGAAATGGATATAATTGATAATTAAAAAAATATTTTTGATGTTTTGTAGATAAATATTTATAATAAAATATATTAAAAAAAATAATTTGTTGTGTACGCTTGTATCTGATATATACACACATATCTCCTAATTTATATTTTAAATACAATTATCATGTTTTTCCCAGTGAATCGGACCACGAAACTAAAGCTAGCAAAGAGCTTAAGGGTGTAGCAGAAGAGGACGCATTAAGGTAATATAACATAAAAGTTACAATTATAATTTATTATTTTACAGTCCTGTTGTATTATAAGCGATCGCAACAAGTGGATTGATTTTTGTTACTTGTTTCATGGAAAGAATAACATGGATAAGGCTTAACAGAATATGTTTGTATTTGTTGGTAGTGTGTTGGTATACAATTCAAAATTGTATTACTAATAGTAGTAGTAGTAGAAGCTGTATTAGACGGAACTTATTGTACCGTTTTATAGGAAACTGTTGACTTCCGACGAGGATTCCGAAGAAGAACAGGAACAGAAACAGGAGGCGTCGGAACAAGAAGACGAACCCACTAAGGAGGGGGAGGAACGCGCCAGTAAACTCACCAAGAAGAAGAAGAAGGACGACACTAAGAAAGGTACTTAATCTTCTGAATATGTGCGTCTTCTTATTAAACATACAAATACGAATTTTGGTGCATTTCTAGAGTAACTCTGTAATAACATTAAAGGATATATTTTTTAAATGGATTAAATATTTAGTTATTCCGTTATTTATTTTTTCTCCGCAGCAGACTCGAGCAGTGATTTCAGTTCGGATTCAGACAGTGACCCAGAGAGCGCGCCCAAAAAGCCGAAGAAAGCCAAAAACGGCACAGACAAGAATGGAGTCACAAACAACGCATCAGGTAATTTATATCAAACATTGTGAAATTCTTCAGCATAGTCTTGCCTAAAGCTGACAAAGGTAAAGCTGATGTTGATTGGTAACTTCTCAAAACAAAAATATTATTACTTAAGGAACGCATCCCCTATATTACCTCCGTATATAACGTTACCTACCTAAAGATACGTTACTAAAGTTAAAGTTAATTTAAAACTTTGACATATATGATTGATATCGGCAGCGAGTGCTCCGGGCAGTGCCAGCACGTCCCGCAGCGGCACCCCCACCCCCGCCGCGGCCGCCGCCATCGCCGCCGCCAACAACCCCGCGCCCGCCAAGCGTGCCAAGCTCGATCCCACGTACCTGTGAGTATACCCCGCGCCCGCCAAGCGTGCCAAGCTCGATCCCACGTACCTGTGAGTATACCCCGCGCCCGCCAAGCGTGCCAAGCTCGATCCCACGTACCTGTGAGTATACCCCGCGCCCGCCAAGCGTGCCAAGCTCGATCCCACGTACCTGTGAGTATACCCCGCGCTTGCCAAGCGTGCCAAGCTCGATCCCACGTACCTGTAAGTACACCCCGCGCCCGCCAAGCGTGCCAAGCTCGATCCCACGTACCTGTAAGTATACCCCGCGCCCGCCAAGCGTGCCAAGCTCGATCCCACGTACCTGTAAGTATACCCCGCGCCCGCCAAGCGTGCCAAGCTCGATCCCACGTACCTGTAAGTATACCCCGCGCCCGCCAAGCGTGCCAAGCTCGATCCCACGTACCTGTAAGTATACCCCGCGCCCGCCAAGCGTGCAAAGCTCGATCCCACGTACCTGTAAGTATACCCCGCGCCCGCCAAGCGTGCCAAGCTCGATCCCACGTACCTGTAAGTATACCCCGCGCCCGCCAAGCGTGCCAAGCTCGATCCCACGTACCTGTAAGTATACCCCGCGCCCGCCAAGCGTGCCAAGCTCGATCCCACGTACCTGTAAGTATACCCCGCGCCCGCCAAGCGTGCCAAGCTCGATCCCACGTACCTGTAAGTATACCCCGCGCCCGCCAAGCGTGCCAAGCTCGATCCCACTGAAATTAAACAAAGTAGGTAGGTTACAAGGAAGTAATTTATGCGTGCATCATTTTTTTTCACAGTTCGAACTGCGCATGCATATTCAGCCTAAAACCATAGACTTAGTTTTATGAATAAAAAAAGATAGCGATACTATAATGAGTTTTATTTTTAATTTTATGTATATGCGTTTATAAAGTTCGTACGTATAGAATAGTCTTTGAATTCGTAATTCGAATTTTTCGAATTGACTGTAGATCAAACTTATTATTCCACAGCGAGTGCGGCGTAACAGAAGAGGCGGTGCGACGTTACCTCGCACGCAAGCCGATGACCACCACAGAACTACTGACCAAATTCAAGTCGAAACGCAGTGGCGTCAGCTCCGAACGACTAGTGGAGACCATGACGCAAATACTGAAGAGAATCAATCCAGTCAAACAGAACATCAACGGGAAAATGTACCTTAGCATCAAGCCCACCTGATAGCCATCAATAAACTGTGTTGTTTTTAAATATTAGTATTTTTCTATTTAAATATATTTATTATGATATTAAAAAATGAGATCAATTTTATTATTTTTAAACATTACTAATGTTTGAGATATTCTAAGCGACGATTAGAAAAATATCACCTAAGAGTAGAAACGTACTAGCGACTAATAATCGGTCGATAATTTAATCGCTCTAGTAAATCGGTAAGGAACTATAAATTGCACACATTGGGCGATAAAAAACGGTCAAACGTTTTAAAATGACACCGATCAAATTATCGGCTCACTAAAAATCGCTTGTGCGTTTCTATCATAAAGACACTTAAATATACTATAATAGTCCCTAGGGAATTATTTAGTGGGAAAAAAGTATCTTGTTATCTAAGTCAGCTAATATCCTATCCATGTATACCAAATGTCATCAAAATCCGTTCAGTAGTTTCAGCGTGATTGACGGACAAACATCCAAACAAAGAAACCTTCACATTTATAATATTAATAGGATGCTGCTATAAGACTTGTGTGAGCCAATCTACTTCATATATAGCGAAATTAGGATAATGAAATTGAAAAACATGCATAATTTAAAAACGTTTAATACCAGAATCATTATTACATTTAATGTACTTATTATTAATAATAGGTAAGTACAAAATTAATTTAATCAGTCACATTTATAATCTCGGAAATAGATTCGGAATGCTCGTTTCCATGCGTAAACACTAGGGAGATCAACGGCTTGATTCTAGAGAGATCCTTCGCAGCGTCTTTGGAAGCAATCACTTCAGTCTACTGTCAATATTCGATCAATATATTTCTGTCTGGATTTACGGTAGGTCTTTATTTTTGTTTAGCATAGTCGCTAGTTCCATGTTCATTTGAATGTTGTGGTTGCTTTTCTTATTTGCTTTCCTAGAACGAACGAAAATAAAATTTTAATATAAAATATATATTCCATTAGCTTATCGATTAATCGTATTGTATCTTTACTTTGTTATCATCACTTTGGCTTTTTTTTTAGTCAGGAAAATGTATCTGATTTATTTTTATACTGTACAGTTTGGTGTATATTTACCACACAATATTTAACATTTGCGCAATTGATTTTGAACCCTAATATTAATGGTTAGAATTTTAAATCGAACGGAGAAAGTGGGTGCTCTTACGGCTAATAATGTAACTTTGTTATTTTAGGTAAAAACTTAACGACACATTTCTTTGTGCGAACTCTCGGCTACAGCACTCAAAGAGTATTTAAACACTGTTTTCGCGGCTGTAATGGCTCTACTGTGTTTTTCTTTTTATTGTTATAGCCTTGTTCCGTTATGCACAGAAATTCTGCCAACATCCCATAATAAGAGAGACACGAGAATCGAGATACTGAACGATATTTAGAATTAACCGGTTTTTCCTTAAGATTGTTCTTTGTCTGCTCTAAAAAGAACAACAAACATCACTATAACTATGGTTACTGTGTAATTTCAAGCTCTGATTAGTCTGTCGGACGTCATCGCCATCTTTCATTCATTTCATTTTACATGTAGAAATTTATTTATTCACTTGACATTGGCAGAATTGTGCGAAATGCGCAGATAAGCCATTAATAAAAGAAGAAGAAGAAGAAGAAGATTAATCTGTCAAAATTGAATTCGCATTAATTTGAGCTCCATTAATAAAAAAGAAGAAGTGCTTTAATCGGTCAAGCTGACAGGTCAATTCATTACATTACGAGCCCTTTTTTTTATGTCCCCACTGCAGGGGCTCAGGCCTTCCTTATGGATGGTTAAGGAGGATGGGCCATGGCCCTCCACGCTGGCCCAATGCGGATTGGAGGATATTAACGACTGCCAATGCAGCCGGGACCAACGGCTTGACGTGCCTTCCGAAGCACGGAGTAGCTCGAGATAATAATTTTTGGTCACCCATCCCGTGACCGACCCTTGCGAAAGTTGCTTAACGACTACGATCGAGGGCCGCGGCGCTTATCCACTACGCCACCGAGCTACTCAATTCAGGTCAATTGTCGACACTTTAAATTAAAATTCATTTGGGCTATTTCAATTGCTTGAAAGGAATAAAATTTTGGTCCTTCGCATGCGCAGACATTAAAACTACTTTTTAAATTCTATCTATAGAAAAGAATGGACTAAAACGACTAAAGTAAGTTTTTGGTGCTTCTCCTTTAACACTATAATTCCTACCCACTTGATCTTCTGAGAATAAGGGATGGTTTAAAAATTTAGGTAAGCATTAGGTAAGCAGGTGCGCTCCAGGATAAGCTGAGCCACTGTCGTTTGCCTTTGGTGCTTAGTTATTTAAACTGTTTAGGTGCTAATAATTTTAATTGAATTCTGTCTGTTCGATTCCCAGTCGGGTCAATATAAAAATTGACTTGTATATTGTCTCGGGACTACACAGCTTTAGCTACTCATTTTGAAATTTGGGCAAAGTGAAGTGATGTTGCATAGGTATATCTATTCAATAAGGTTAAACAATATAAGGACAAGACTTTTATTGTTTAAATTATTTGGATAGATAATAAGGAAGTACCTTCGTTGTCTCAGAGTGGTAAGTGTAAGTTTTACGCTAACGCGTTCTCTAGTGAGCGAGTTAAGAATTTGTATGGAGATTTGTAGTTCTTGATAGTTACCGCTAGGGGCGCTGTACCGGATTCCGTATTAATATCGTAACGCGCTCACGATCGACAGTGAACGTAAACGTGAAAAAAACTTACACTAAGCGCTAAGAACTCAGCAGAGCGGTTCTGTAAAAATCCGAACCCGAATTCGAATTCATTTTGTGTCTGAATTCACTACAAAAATGACATCCGCTTAACCTTGAATTGGTATTAACGTTTCATGCATGGCATAAGTAAAGTGAGTTTCGAAATGATATAGGGGTAGAATATATAAGACACGTATGAATTATACGTATGACACGTCTGGAAACTTGTTTTGCAATTTCTGAACAAAAAATAAGTGAATCAATAGAATTGCTACACTAATGTAAGCCTTCGAAGTGAACCTGGGCAGCTGAGTCGAATTTGCGTTCGATTTTTTACAGAATCGCAGGGCTGATAATCGGAATCTGAGCAAAGTATCAGAGATATCAACCTTATTTATTTAATAAGGTTGATTCATAAAAGGGCAACAAATGAATTATTAGGAAAGATAATAAAACAAAGAGGTATAGTTACTTCCAGAGTGAGCCGTGCACGATGAGTAGCTCGGCATCCCGTATGGTCTGTGGCATGGCGCGGCCCTTGGTCTCGGGCAGCAGCAGCGCCAGCGCGGACGCCGCCACGCACAGCGCGCCCACCGTCACCATCGGCAGCGGCGCCCACAATCGACCCTGTCCACAACCATTATGTTCCATATTTAATTATTTAATCTTTATTGCCTTTAATACAGCAACTTAACGAGTTTTTTCTTTCATTCAAACCGGTGAATATGTACAGTACAGTACATTCAAAAGGCGGTACTATTAAAAGAATATACCACAAAAATAAAATACAAACGTATGCACACGATTAAATATATAAATACAAACATACGTATATTATATCAATATCGTTTAAACAGTCTCTAGGTTGTAAGAGTCGAAAAACTATGCCATCAGGTTATAAATATACAGCGGATGTGCACTGAGAAAAACCAGCACGAAACTAATCAACTCTTTCTCCATGTTTTATTTTATAGAGTTATCATACAGAAAAAAATATTTAAAGAGAAGGGAGACCTTTATACGTTGACTATACCCTTATTTGCTACAGTCTACACTACACTACAATTGTAATCGCATCGTTTAGCTTTTACGATCTTTAGACGATTACGAAACCTCCACCATTAGCAAGAAAATTTACAAATATAATTCATATCGAGAAAGAGAACATTATTGTATCGACGAAGCTACCACCCACCTTTGCAAAGGGACTAAAATTTCAAACAGAAAAGCTTTTTAGGAATTCGATGCGAAAAAGCAGTTACAATGCGAGAACGCTAACCCAAAAGTTAATTGGAAAAAATAGTCACTTTAAACATCTTAAACCTATGTTATTCTATTTATAGATAAGGTTTAGAAATATCAATAAATAGACAACAATCTACTATAGTAACGCTAGACCAAACATGAATTATCGTTTAGAAGGAGCAATCAATTCTCACAGAGAAGACGATGAACGGTGAAGTAGAGATGGCAATGTATACGGAGACGTGTACGAAGGCGTTGCCGCTTGCTCGCATGCCTGTCGGTATGGTCTCCGAGGTGAGTTGTAGGTGCGCACTGATCGCCATGTTCACCGCCAGCCGCATCAGCACCGCTAGCACGAGCTGCAACACTCCTGAAATGCAGTTGTTTATGATTAATCAAAATATCGCACAATCCCTGACAGGCGGAGGCCTAGTCTGTTACTCTGAAAACGAAATCTCTTGTTTGAATCTAATAAAATATGTTTTTAGATAATTCTGATGGGACCTGAAGCTACCTATTATGCAAGGAATTTAATAAAATTAAAATAACGTTTTGCAATTTTCCGGAACTTCATATCCGGAAAAAATATAAATCGATGCGACAACATTTCGAGTTTATGTACCGGAAGACTAACAGCGCCATGGCGTGGAACCAGTGGCGTAACTAAACCGTTTGAGGGCCTTGGCAAATTCATTCGACATTCTATTTTTTTATTAATCGTGTAATAATAAAGTTCAGGAGTAAGGAGTCTCCAATTACCGGGGGCCCCTTCCAACTGGGGGGCCGTGGCATTTTGCCGACTTGCTACCCTGTAGTTACGCCACTGCCTGGAACCTTGAGGCTAAGAGGGCATTTTTAATTTTATATACTGATGGATTTGTGAGCATCAAATTACGTTAATTACATAGGTACATTATGCTGGAGTACACTTACCAGATTCGGAAAATCCGCATAAGAACGACAGTATACCGGATATCAACATCGTTACAACAATTAGAGAGCGGCGTCCGACCCTGAAATAAAGGTTTATGTTAAATCTAAATAGCTAGAAGATTTCGAACTACTGTTGACATGACAGTCAATGTTTTTTGTCTGATCTGCAGGCGCGGATCATGAACGATCAAGATAATTCATATCATTAGCTGTTACGGTTATATTAAATACTTCAAATTACTTAGACGTCATGCTCGTTTACTTACTTATTTATTTATTTATTTAGATAACTATCTGACGGTAAAACATCAAAACTTTTGGCCCGAATTTGATAAACTTTCTATGGGACCATTTTGGAAGTATATTTCATCAAATAAAAAAGTAAATTAAAATTGGTTCATGAACCAAACTGATGGCTGGATTACATAAAAATATACAGATGAGTTGAGAAACCCACTTTTTGTTTGGAAGTCTGTTAGAAGAAAGTAAATGGGTTGGTAGGACATCCGAACGCTAAAATATTCGAACCTAACATACCTGTCAAGAGTGAGCACTACTAATACTAGGGCAGGTATCTCCGCAGCCGAGGACAGGCTAAAGGTGAGGAAAAAGTTGGTGCCGATATTCTCAGACATCCTCAACACAGCGTCCAGGCCCAAATTGCTAATCATTCCCACCAGGATCAGTATCAAAAGATTGTTACGAAGTAGACGACTCTTGGAGAGGTCTTTGAAAGATTCTGGTCCAGATGTCGTTGATTTAGAAGACATCTGAAAACGGATATTAAAAGTATGTTATAGGAACTCTTGCCACTCGAATTAGAAATGGAGTATGGACAATACGACAATGAGAAAATTACTGGATGTATGCAAAAACTTCATTAATTGATAAAACACTCCTGAGGATTCAAGTATCAGGAATTTGCTTTTCTTATTTCATGTTCAGCTCATTTAGGGCATATTAGTCCTTGTATTTTCATATACTATATAACACGACTTTCGGATGATGATAGTGAAGAAACATGAATTATCCGGCCAGCATTTCCATTTGACATTTTAACATACATTTAAACTTACAATGAATTGATTTAGCGACTCCTCAGTAATTTTCTTTTTGTTGACTCTTTCGAATTTTCTCAAAACTTTCACCGCTTTGTCGACCTTCCCTTTGGAAGCTAACCATCTGTAAACATTTCAGTACCGTATTTTAATAATAACTACGCTCTATGCATAACATACAACATTATTAACAACTTAAATTAACTATTTTCAGCAGTATAAAGACATTATTATCAGCAGTATTCTGTATAATCAGCCGCGAACTCGACTTCGATAATGGCACTACTGAACATAGTCAAGAAAAGCTTATTAGATAGATAGGAACCTATTTACCGTTCAAAATTTACACGCTAAACAGTAGTATTTAAAATTACATATGATAAACGATTTCTTTTATACGTCAGGGAATTTCTTTAATCCCAAATGTGTGGGACTCTTCTCCGTCACCGGAAGCCAGGATTACCACTTTTGAGAAAAATTTTTGAGACATTCGAACAGTCGTCAAAAGAAATGGGACTTCAGTTCAAAGTATGTCATAGGAAAAAAAAAAATAACTATGTGTTAGGATGTCGATCGCATTACAGTGGGACCTGCGCTGCGTGGAGATATATAAGGCGTGAATGTAGTGACAGTCGAGTATTATAAAAAATTGGGAAAAAATCAATAAGGAATCTTGACACAGGACAACATCGGGACGGATGGCAACCCTGCCGTGATTGAGTCCTGGGAAGCCGTGATTGAGTCGTCGGGATTGATAAACGGTACCTGGCGCTCTCAGGTATGAGCAGCGGCGCAAGCAGCACGGCCAGCATTGGCAGTGAGGTGAGCAGCACCAGCGTCCGCCAGTTGCGCAGCCATAGCGCCAGCGCTACCAGTAGCAGGGAGCCTCCGCCCCCGAATACCGCTATAGACATGTTCAACACCCAGGTGCGGTGGCTAGAACCCACGTACTCCAATACTGGAACAAGTCAATTTCAATTTGCCGTCTTAAGGATATTTTTTAAGGTTAATGTAATGAAATTTTTTTTTGCTTTAATTGGTTTATGAAGACTACCAAGGCGTACCTTAAAATTTTAAAATTCAGTTGCAAGCTTTGAAAGCGGGAAATGTTGTTCCTGCGTTGCATTTTCATGTAGCACCGTATTATCACCATCGTTACAATAGAGGTACTGTGTTATCAAGTTTATCGTTAGAGGCGGTAGTGTAAAAATATGTGATCTATTTCTCGCGTCAGTCTATTTGTCAGTATATCGTCAGTATATCCACTCTATTTGTCGCGTCAGTCAATTTTACAAAAATATGTAGTTTTGTTACCTACGCGATGATTGGCTACCCTTTGCTTATTCTAATAATGTATTATTCGTTTGGTGTAAACGAAAAGATGATATGTATGGATATGCGATAAATAGCTGAATTTATACGTTTGGTTATACGACAGCATTTCAAAATATTATATTGTTACGGAGCGCAGCGACGCAGTTCGTCTACGCATTACTAGATGGCGTTATGTGCCAATGGATCGCGCTAACACTGTTGCAACTAAGCGGTAAACGATTTAATAGTTATTAGTGAAGTGAAATAATTAAGTTAAAGTGTAAATTTTGTATTTGGATTATTTTTGTAATTTTATAGTGTTAAACAAAGTCGGATTGTGAATTATAATTGGCGTTAATTTTTATCCCGAAACTTAATACGTAACAATATTTTATGTTATACTTACCGATAAGTATTATCATGACTACGCAGCTGTCGTTAGCCAGGCCGACTAGGAATCGTGCGACAGTAAAGTCCCACATGCCTTCCGTGAACACAGTCAGCAAACCGCCTAAGCCGCCTATTACATTTGCACCTTCAAATGTAAATAATTAAGTTATAAACTTGTACTCAGTAATGTTCATAAATTCCTCTCCCCTAATTAGGGCCAAAAAAAAGAAGGTACGTTCTTGATTTCTCCATGACAACCCTTCCGGTTTTCTTTCATGTTTAAAAGTAAATTAGTTTTCAAAACTCAATAAACAACTCATATTCTATTTGTTTTACGTATTTGCATTGATATCTAAGTTTCGAATTTTTTAAATTTCAGTTTTTTAATATATTAGTTAAAAAGAACGGAAATGACTGTCTTTGGTCCATTTGTTTCCTGCAAATATCAACTTTAGTCGCCATCTAGTGGAGGTGCTTTTTTAGTGCTTTCTTTATTTTTAAATACTTTGTCATTCCAAATGACTTCCAATTGGAAAATACCTTCATCAGAATGAAAATTCATTAGAAAGTCTCTATATGAAATAAAACTGGGAGAAAAAATAAGCTCTTGCTGAATTTGTTTTGAAAATCACATTTGTCTTTGAGATTAATTTGTTCCGCACTAAATTTTTAGGTGAGGTTCTGTAGTGTGCAATACTATTCATAACAGAGTTCAAATGTAATCTCTATGCTGCGATAGCGCTATATTCGTTTTGATATATGCTGTATTTTTAACATAATAGTGAATCTGTTATATCAAAATAGCGAAAAGAGTCTAGTTTCGATCTTTAGACTGAACAAATTATTGGATTGTTTGCATAACACTTAGCATTCTTACATATAAGAGTTGGCAATCTTCCAAACTTGTCTCCCGTCCATCCGAAGAAGGCACATCCTACCAGTGAACCGAGGAAGAACACACTCTGTGCGAGTGGTGCGTTGCCGGCACGGTCGCAGACCCACTCGCGCTGCAACCAAGAATATTGTTAGAACTATACAAAATTAAATATCTTCAATCAAATTATTGTTCTATCATATATTATTGCTTTTTGCACTTAGTTCTTATATAGTGTACTTAAAGGACGAAAAAATATATTAAAAAATATTTACACCAACTATTTAAATATTTACTTATTGAAGCCCCTTAAATTGGCGCCCAACGTGGGACTCTTGGAATTTCTGGAATACTCTGTTATATTAAAATAGAACTATATTTAAAGATCATGCATTGATCTCTGATGTTTCTACCTCGCTAACGACTGTAGTATAAGGTATATCATCGTAGAGAAACTCCCACCCGTGCTCGCATGGTCGTGTATCATTATTACTGGGTGGGCTCATTGTCACCAACACGTGAGTCCAGTTGGCATCATACACCCTGCAACGGTCCCAGTCTGTACCATCCGCTGCGCCCGGTATTGATAGATTTCGTCTATGGAACATTTTTAAACACTATTTATTAATACAGGTAATCTAAACTTCAATTATTGTTCAACTAAACTAGTGAATGCATAAAATCATTATATGCTGCAATTTATTTGCGCCAATCTCTTTAACTTATAGATTCCCCACCTCCCCATTAGATCGGGTCCAGATACGAGGACTAAAATTTAATACTTATGGTTAAAACCATTGCCCAGCTAAAAACATTAACAATGACACAAGAAAAAATGTCAAAAAGAGATGTGTTGACTTATTTTAGTCGGATAATCGTTGATGAATATATATATATATATATTTTTTATGGGGCAGACGAGCAGACGGATCACCTGATAGTAAGTGATAACTGTCGCCCATGGACACCTGCAACACGGGCGACGGTAGACAAGCGCGCAGCCGGCCTTGAGGGAAGGGTTGAGGGGTAGAGGGAAGGGAATAGGGAGGGTTTGGGCCTCCGGTACCCTCACTCACACGACGAAACATAACGCAAGCGTTGCTTCACGTCGGTTTTCTGTGAGGCCGTGGTATCACTCCGATCGAGCCGGCCCATTCATGCCGAAGCGTGGCCTGTTAATAAAGTAACATCCTAATTTTATGATAAGAGATGTTAGATGGCAGAAGGGTAGTTCAGTTTAACTACTGATATATCTAATGAGCATATTTTCCTATGCGACTGTACTCCTATCGATTAGGAAAATATGAGTCGATTCAGTTTAAGAAATCACCTTAAATTGATCTCCAAATGCTGCAGTTCCGGCACCTTGCACCAGTGCTGCTGTGGTGTCGCAGCGATGAACATCTGGACGCAGTAGACCGCTATGAAGCACACGAAGAACGGCATCAGGCACAAGAACAACAACTTCTGGTATGTGCCCATTTCGCCAACTTCCATTATTATTCGCTCCATAATGTCGATGTCATCATCTTTAGTTGTGTCGCCTTTCAGTTGTTTTGTTTCCTTTATATTAATATACACGATTTCTGAATTGTGCATTTTTAGAAAAAATATCACAGAGGCTACCTAGACCTAATAAGGAAGCCTATGTACACACGGCTGCATGTCAGGCTACCACAATATAGTAAAATTCCGTAAGTGATCTTATACTCTACTTTAAATATTATTAAGGTTTATAATCAAGTGAAGAAATTTATCAGTTTCCTATAAAATGAAGTGCTGTTGACTGTACTCAGGGCAACTGGGCGGCAAAGCATGCCAACTATACTAATTATGTTTGCTTAAATTATTTGAACCTTAAAAATGCAGGATGTACTTTAAAAAAATACTTTTTTTTCTTCGAGCATGAGTCCATGTCCGCGGTATCCAAAAGTACCTTCAAAATATAATGATTCACCTATTGTTTTTAAATCATAAATAAGTATTATTTGCTTTTCAAAATCCATTCAGAATCGATTGCAAAGTAGGTATCGGTAAAAGAACATTTAATTTAAATAAAAGTCTTTAATCAATTATTAATTCAGTTATTTTTATCCATGTCATTTTGAATGAAGGATAACGAGATTGGTGTATGAATCAATTATACTTGAAGCTTACGTACATATATTAATAAAAACAACTTTTGAACAGAAATCTCCCTTAAATCTAAGTATAACTTATTACATGATTTTCTTTATAGTTATAGAAATTTGAACTAACAGATTTCCCACTATCTCCCAGAGCAGTGACCACAGATTTTTTATATTGACCCAGCCGGGAATCGCTGGATTTAATTTCCGCCTAAGCAACGCCGTAATTTTATAAGCAATTTTATACTGAAAATGTATTTATCTTATTACCTACCGAGTGCATGAGATAGATAGGATTAATCTTTTGTCTTTATGCTCACCCTAAATGAACTTTCTTAATATGCTGATCAATAAAAAAGTTTATTATAATAAATTATGAAATATTTTGGAAATAGTAACTTAATAACAGATTTTGTATCAATATAGGTATACATGACTGGTCAATATCCAGCTGGGAATCGCTGGATTTAATTTCCGCCTGAGCTGCTACACCGTTATTTTATGAGCAATTTTATATTGAAAATCTATCTATCTTATTACCAAGTGCAATGAGATAGATAGGATTAATCTTTTGTCTTTATGCTCACCCTAAACGAACTTTCTTATTGATCAGCATTCTTAATATGAAAATGTTTATTATAATAAATTATGAAATATTTTGGAAATAGTAACTTAATAAGTATGTCATAATTGTGTTAATAATTAAATTAACTCGCGATTTGGTAATCTGTGTATTACAAGAACTGGAGCATCTAAAATATGACGTGACAGTTTAAAAACATGTGTTTCCTTTGTACAGAAAAATAAATTTGTTATATAGTAGTTTAATTTGTTTAATATGATCTTATTAAAGTTTTCCTAATACTTTCAAGTAGCATATTCAGAAACGGAACGTTTACGAGTCTTTAAAATGAATACATTAAACCCGTAGTGGGTTGAATGTACTTTTTTGACAAAAACTTTATCTGCATGAACAAAGACATAAATTGTAGAGGTTCAATGCATTTTTTTACATAGATAAAAAAACATCTACGCTTCCACTTGCGTGTTTTTTTTATCATCGATTGTTTTCTGTTGAAGGTTTTCTCTATTTCCGAATGTATTTTCGTCACAGTTTCATTTTCACTTAACTATAAGAAATGTAAATGATTGATATTATTAGTTTGTATCGATGTGTTTGGCGCTAATAAACTAACGTTAATAACTATCAGATTTATTAAAAAAAAATCAAATGCCTTTATTTCCCAAAATTACATAAAACTTTAGTAATTTAATTTACATTAATAATAGCGTTAGAAACCCGAATCTATAAACTCACTACCTTACATTTAATAATTAAATAAATATTAGCAATATCACGTTACACCAGTCAAATGCCAAATTAGGAAGCGATGGAAATCTGAAACAAGGAAGGTCCACAACAACTAGCTCCGAGACAATAAAGAAAAGTTTATTTTTTACATTGACGCGACCGGGAATCGAATCTCGATTGTTTTCATGAAAATTCAAAGACGTTACTTCATTATTTGTCACCAAGCTATATCTCATGAACCGTGAAAGTAAGACAGTTGAAAATTTCACAGATGATGTATTTCTGTTGCCGCTTCAACAACAAATACATTAAAAAACGAGAATTAAATAGATATTTAAGGGGGCTCCCATACAACAAACGTGATTTTTTTGCTCGTTTCCGGTACGGAACCCTTCGTGCGCGAGTCCGACTCGCACTTGGTCGGTTTTAATTAACAATGATGCCAACGCAGATCTCCGTACCAGCTAGATTGACTATTACACAGCGCTTGAAGTATCTATAACGTAACCAATTTTTCTTTGATTCAGAACAGGATATCTTTTTTTTAGAAATAATACCATGATTGAGGAAGTATTAAAAAAAAATTGTTCGAGAAATCAAACTAGATGTCGCTACGGTACGTTCTTGATTTCTCTATGACAACCTTTCCGGTTTTCTTTCAAGTTTAAAAGTAGGTAAATTAGTTTTCAAAAGTCAATAAACAACTCATATTCTATTTGTACTTTTTCGTATTTGTATTGATATCTAAGTTTCGAACTTTTCAAATTTCAGTTTTTTATTATGTTAGTTAAAAAGAACGGAAATTACTGTCTTTGGTCCATTCGTTTCCTGCAAAAATCAACTTTTGCTAGTGTTGCCATCTGGTGGAGGTGCTTTTTAGTGTTTGCGTTTTTTTTTTAAATACTTCCTCATTCTTACACTTGCTTTTCGGTATATTAAGGTTTCAAAAAACCCCAAACTAAACGGAAACCTATATTTCGCATAGATAGATACTAAGTGTACGTCTAACAAAATTCTCACACCATTTTGAAAACGGGACATTTATGCGTCCCGGCGTTACCTTCTGGCACACTGGAACACAACCGATGGATGGGACGGTCCCGTTCAAAAAGGGACGTCTGGTCACGTTAATCATCTAGGACGTATCCTGTCTGAGATGACTTTATTTATCACTGTCCAGCGAAAGACAGCCGAAGTGACTAGAATTATTTTATAAAACATTAATTGACTATCACTTTCCAAACGATCGAAGCCTCTAATTAGATAACCATGATCATCTAAAATACCAATTTTATCGGATAAAAATGCCCTACTAAAAGTCAGTTAAAGGTGCCTATAATAAAATCATAGTCGAACTTGATGTTACGCACAGCACTATAACAGCATACCGAGGGCCTACTACGTTTGCCCATGAATGAAATTTCGAAATATTTATAATTTCGTTAAAATCATTTCACAGTGGCACTACTGTGCAAATATTAATATAAGTAAATTGTATCGAGAACTTCCCTGTTTTATTGATTGATTTAAATTGATTGAAATAAATACAATTAAGTACAACAAACAACTTACAATAAAGTTCAGTATATAAAGATGATGCTTTGTAATTGTCCAATAATGACAAAATTATATAATTATATAAACATATTAAAACAGACAGACACATTTTTCAAATAACCATTGCATACAATTACGCAATATATTGTAGTATACGTGTAACAGAAAACCAAACAAAAGTATTTTGCCAAACTAAACTGGTTAGCTCAGTGGTTAGAGCAGTCGCCCAGAATGCGAAACGTCGTGGGTTCGAGCCCCATCTGAGAATACCTGTGGTTAGTGAATTTTTAAGTATTTTTCATTAAGAATATATGTAAGTTTTTACGATAATTGATAAAAATAGTAATTTTTAAAAAAGCCAAATATTAAGATTATGAACGCAAAATTCACTTAAAGAAATTACAAAATATATGAATTAATTAATAAAAAATAAAAAAACGAACCTCTTGCTTTGTGTTCTCCATTTGTGATATAAATATGTAAACAAATAAACTGACTAGATAAAAATAATATTGTCTAATATTGGTACACTTTATGACTCATTGACTTTACTAAACACGTGCGCACGCGACACTGAACGAAAAAAGAGATTTTAATCTTTTTTATTTAATAAAATTGTTATCATATCACGAACAAGTCTATCTTGTAACGGACACTATCGAAAATAACGTAGTTTCAACGTAGACTTTCCGATAATACGGAAAAGTGAGGACAATCCTCGATAGGGCTGACAAAAAGCTTTATAAAAACATTTTTTTTTTACGAAAACGTGTTGGGGCAGTTTTATAACAGAATAGCGTTATATTAAAAGTAAATTGTAATGCGCGTGATGGGTTATGATGACTTTTTTCTTATTTACGTAAATAAATAATAATAAACAAACCAATTTAAAAATAGATTCATGCAACAGGAAGAATGAAATATCACGCAAAAAGATATCGGGATACAGGCCACATCAGTTGTTGCAGCTGTCTGCCTGTCTTTGATAATAATAATAATAATAATAAATACTGTTGCAATCCCTGTTGCACAAAAAATATCCAAAATCGGTAAAGATATGTAGTTTTGGTATAAAAATGGTTTTGTTTATAAAATGTTTATGTCGCAGCCAAGTGGTATAATCAGCCGACCAATTGGACGACTAGTAGCGATGGGCATTGCTACTAGTCGTCCATTGATTCAATAATCAATGGACTAGCTAAACCAACCATTGATGTAGAATCAACGCATCGACAGTTAACAGTTATTTGATCAACTTGTTAAAGAGTCGACGGCTAAACGTAGCATGTACCATGCGTCTATCAACATATTACGAAACTGCGACACATAATTTTATCTGTATAATACAATGGTATTCGGTTGTTTTCATAAAGATTCGATGTAACTTTGACGGCTGAAATAATTTAAACTCTAAAGTCAAAAGAAGTAAATAAATATTTGAACATGCGTATTCATAGGCCTTGTTTAAATAAATATTTAACTTGATTGTTGTGTATGTTAGCCCCCGATATGGTGTTATATGAGTTTTGAAATGGCGGTGTTATGAATTTTACTACTTAGTAACTATTTCTATCATAAATTAGCTTTCTTCTTTTTTTTTG